CACAACCACATCAAAATTACAACTACAATACAGAACCGCCATCATTGCCATCATTCAGAACTGCATGAAAGGAAGCCCTGCAACTGGAGAAGTAGGGAAGAAAGAACCTTGAGACAGGAGAGGCAGAGGCGAGGAACGAGCTGGGCCAACACCCATGTGCGGCCTTTTTTTCAGTCCAGAGGAAGATCGCCTCTGCAGAGGTTGCCATGAGGAACAAGGGGTCTCAGCCCCACACCAGACCCCAGGCTTCCAGAGCTGGGAAGTGAAACCCCTGAAACTTCAGCAGGGATTTTGTAAAAGCCAGCAGGGATTTTGGCTGAGTGACACAAAAGCTGCTGGAACTCTAGATGTTCCTCTCAAAGGGCTGGCGCACAAACTTACCTGGTTCTGCTTCTTCGGAGCTCCAAGGCCAGGCGACTCATTCACGTACAGGGAGGAACTGGATTGTCTGGCATCACAGCAGGGACTCGGGGGCAGCTTTCTCTCAAACAGTGGTGCTTGCAGGGGTCATTGTTCCTGTGCTGGGATCTCCTCTGTTGTAGGGCTGACTGGCAGCCATATCAGCATGGCCTACACTGTTTTCTCTGCCCTGGGGATTCCCTGAGACCTCACCTCACCCAAGCTGTTTGCAGCAGATTTTCCAAATGAATGGCTTGTTTTGGCTCAGGCTTCAGACTTTCCTAAAAATCTCTCAAACAGGCTTCAGCTGGTGACAACAGCATGCCCCAAACCTATCAATAAAAGGCCCAAGACCCAGCTCTAGCACCAGGTTTTGCTTCACAGCTGGGCCTCATCTCCTCCACAGCAGCTCTCCCACTGTAGCTGCAGCTCGTCCTCACAGCCAATTGGCCTGGAGGTCAACTCTTCCCAGAGACACCAACAGCAATCAAGGCTCAACTACAAGACTGTGCACACAAGTTACATTGTGGAGGAAACCTAGAGTGCCCAGCTCAGGAGACTGGGGAGGCTGAGCCACTGGGCCCTATAAGACACCTACTACACGAGGTCACCTACCAATTCCAGGAGACATAGTAGCTCTAATTAATATGTAGAAATAAACAGAGGGAAGCAGCCCAAAGCAGAGACAAATAAACCTGTCACAAATGAAAGAAATAGAAGCAATCAAACTACTGGATACAGAGTTCAAAACCATGGTTATAAGGTTACTCAAGGATTTTCATGAGACTTTCAAGGATCTTAGTAAGAATATCAAAGACATACAAAAGGACCAGTAAGAAATTAAGCATACAGTAACTGAAATAAAGAATAATTTACAGGGATTCAACAGTAGAGGATTCTGAGAATCAAATCAATGATTTGAAATATGAGGGAGCAAAAATCATCCAATCAGAAAAGCAAAAAGAAAAAAAGAATCCAAAAATATGAAGAAAGTGTAAGGATCCTGTTGAACAAGTGTACCAATATTGGCATTATGGGGGTGCCAGGAGGGGAAGAGAGAGACTAAAATATTAAAAACCTATTTGAAGAAATAATAGCAGAAAACTTCCCCTATCTGGTGAAAGAAATAGACTTACAAGTCCAGAAAGCACAGAGAGTCCTAAAGAATAAGAACCCAAAGAGGCCCACACCAAGACACATCATAATTAAAATGACAAGGATTAAATACAAAGAGAGAATCTTAAAATCAGCAAGAGAAAAAAACGGTTCATTACCTACAAGGGAGTGCCTGTATGACTGTCAGCTGATTTCTCAACAGAAACTGTGCAGGCCAGAAGGGAGTGGCAAGAAATATTCAAAGTGATGACCTACAACCAAGATTACTCTATCCAGCAAAGCTCTTATTTAGAATTGAGGGTCAGATAAAGAACTTCACAAACAAGAAAAAGCTAAGGGAGTTCTTCACCAAACCAGTATTATATGAAATGCTGAAAGGTATTATTGAAGAAGAAGGAGGAAGAAAAGGATGAGTATGAGGAGGAAGAAAAGGAGAAGAGACAAAAATATGAACAATAAAATGGCAACAAATACATATCTATCAACAATCAAATATAAAAATCAAAATAAATGAATAAGAAATCTAATGAACAAAATAACCTGGTGAATAAAACAGAACCAGAGGCATGGGAACATGGAACAGACTGATGAATCTCAGAGGGGAGGGGCAGGGCAGGGCAGGAAGAGATTAACCAAATATCTTACCTATGGACATAGACAGTAGGGTGGTGAAAGCCTGGAGGAGGATGGGAACTGGGTGGAGGGGGACAATGGGGCAAAAAAAAAGGGGAAGCACCTGTAATATTCTCAACAATAAAGATTTAAAAAAAAAATGTCATTGGACAAGGCCTTTGCTGAAACTTTTTTCTTTCTCTAGAATTGCCTTCAAATGCCTTGCCTTCTAGCTTACCATCATGATGTCATTCTTTAAATCTTTACAATCTTTCCTATTATACACATAGGTTAAAATTTAGCACACTTCCCTAGGCTGCCACTACAGAGTGTGTGTGTGACCATTTTATAGGCTGTATATCACTGTTTTACATGTGTTTACCATCTCTCTTTTCTCCTTGACTTCAGGTGCTTGATAGAAAAATTTCAGCTTACTCACTGGGGTATCCTCAGCCCCTAGCATACAACTTATGTTCATCAAATGTTTGTAAAATTAATTGATGTACAATTGTTGCCTAAGATTCTTATTGGAAGAACAACATTATAGTGTACTAGAGGCCTGGTGCACGAAATTTGTGCATTTAGGGGGAGTCCCTCAGCTTGGATTGGGAGAGGGTACAGGCTAGGCTGAGTCACCCTACTGATGCACACAGGAAATTGGCCAACCAGGGAGGGACTATAAGAGGGGTCTAGGGTGTGTCCGGCCCATCTCATTCAGTCCCAATTGGCTGGACCCCAGCAGCAAGCTAACCTCCTAGACAGAGCCAGAGCATCTGCTCATTGGTGGTCAGTGCATATCACAGCAACTGGTCAACCAGTCATCTGTCTGCCCCCTGGTGGTCAGTGCAGTCATAATGAGCGGTTGAGAGGCCTTAGCATATCATTAGCATATTACACTTTGATTGGTTGAATGGACAACCAGACAACCGGAGACTTAGCATATTAGGTTTTTATTATATAGATGCTCTCTGAATTGTATTCCATGGACAATGTAAAAAATATAGGAAATATGTAATGATATCTTGATAAAGAGAGCCAATGCTTGGCTTTTATAGGTAAGTGCAATAAGGCATCAATTTTGAGACATAATTCTCATAGTTAAAGCCAACAGCCAGGGCTATAACTTTGGAGCATTCTCACTGAGAACAGGCTGAATCACAAACTCTTTTATTATGCTAGCATTCAATTTTGCCATTAACCAGTCAGCCATTATGCCTTTGGCAAAGAAAGGTTAAAAAAAACTTCCACCAACAATAACAAACAAAACAAATCAAAAAATAAAACCAAAACAACTTGGACTTACTATCTCTTCTGTGCTGGTAATGATTTTTCTGGTTAAGTTCAGAATGCTTGCAAGTAATTGGATGTGTTTGCTAATTTAATTTATGTAAACCACTTATCTGTCTCATCACTAGCATAGTGGAGTTTCCTCATAGCTTTGTAGAAATTGAACTAAATGGTGGGGAGGTGTTTTTAGGAGGCAGCAGAGGCAATAAATTACAGGGGAGCCGAAAATTACACATGCTGATTAAATCACATTTTCTTTAAAGAAACACCAGTAAGAAAATGCTTCTTCTTGGCACCTGTTTCTTAGAAAGGGCAGCAGAGACAAGAGAATGTAGCATCTGAAAAAGTGAAAAGAAAAAGCAAGTTAAGGTGCAAAACAGAGATGAATGGGCATGGATTGATTTTTTCAGGGAATTCTTGAACTGACTGGGGTTACTGTCTCTAGCCTAAACCTAAGACAGTTTACTCTACAGTGGTATAAAAGTTAAAGTCTAGCCTAAACCGGTTTGGCTCAGTGGTAGAGCGTCAGTCTGCGGACTGAAAGGTCCCAGGTTCGATTCCGGTCAAGGGCATGTACCTTGGTTGCGGGCATATCCCCAGTAGGGGGCGTGTAAGAGGCAGCCGATCAATGATTCTCTCTCATCGATGTTTCTGGCTCTCTGTCCCTCTCTCTTCCTCTCTGTAAGAAATCAATAAAATATATTTTAAAAAAGTTAAAATCTAAGTAGGAAGTAATTAAAGGAATATATTTTGAACTACTTAATCTTTTGAGAAACAATTTTTAAGGCCCAATAAGAATGTGTTTTTGTTGCTCTGTCTCCACCCTACTTTGGTTTTTCACATCAGGCAATCCTACCTGGCTGCCAAACCAGTGATCAAGAGAAGGCAGATTCAACAATTACACCCTCAGTGTGAATAAATGATACATCAGGTCATTAGAGCAAATGCTGGCAGGGGATAGAAAAGCAGGAAGACATTGATCAAGTGAGATGGAAGAGACATGAAACACACACACACACACACACACACACACACACACACACGGAGAGCTATGCATTATATACTTAATAAAATAAGGACACTTTTTGAATAAAAATGTGTTCTGTGACTTCCGGAAGAACTTTGTTCAGTGTTGATCAATAGACAGTTGAAGCCAAAACAGTGATAGGCCCTGGGAGGGTCCAGGAGGAGGGACTCTCAGTTGCTCTCTCATTGGCTAAGAACCACCACTCTATGTTGATGCTCAGGAAGCCCAGGCTTATGTTGCATCATAAGTCAGTGTGATGTTAGCTGTTTTCTTCACTATGTGTATCCAGGAAGGGTACTATATATTGTACTTATACTCACAGCCTTCTGCAGCCTGGAGATGCTGGCCTATGGTCATGTTTGGATTCTGATCCAACAAACACTTGTGGATAGCTGATCAAATCCTCCCCTGTCTTCACTCCCAGCCCCTTCTGTCTTGATAAGTGAATATAACTAATACAATTATTAAATGCTTACATATTCCTGAGCAACATGACATGAATTATGAGTGTTTTGACCAACCATTTATCTTTTTCTTTAAAAAAATGTAAACCACGAACTTGAAAGAACCAATGACAGTTTATTGGGTGTGACCATACAAACAGATGAGAATTTAGTGAATATTTTTCAAGTGCTATCATCATTGTAACTCTAAGCAGATAAGCCTTAACAATTATTATTAACAATTAATCATAATGGGTTTGTCTAAATTCTAGTTACAATAAGTTATAATATTTTACTTTTATCAAATAGTTCTCATAATGAAAGTGAAAGAAACAATACTATTGTATAATGTAGAAAAGCTCATTTCACTCAAAGGGAAAAACATCCAAAATATTATTTTAAGAATAAATTTTGATGTCATATTCATTATAAGATATTTTATCAGTGTCCACAGTACATCTGTGTATCAGGTTGGTTGTCCTGAAATCCTTACTTTACACATTGGAAGACAAGAATAGTGTGCTTCATAAATATTCCAAGTTCACACATTGTGTCAGGATAACACCGGTAACAGAATTTATATCTGATATTTTTCTTATACAGCCCAGTGCTCGAGAGACTAAGTACTCAATAAAAAAATAGTCATTGAAAATAAGAACTAATGAACAAATCATTATGTTCTATAAACTAAACTAAACTATCATATTTGCTATTTCCTTTACTCACTAAATCAGAGAAGCTGGAGGAGCAGTTGAGCAATAAACTCTATGCATTGTCCTACCACAAGTGTTTATTGCTACATGTAGGGGCTTTGTGAGCTGGTACCATCTGGTCAGTCCTGACAGTATACCTTTCCAGGCCCCCGTAAGGAGTGTCATTAATCTTGGTTCGTTGTAATTAGCTTTTGTGGTGTGAGTTAGGTCCACCAACATGTGGCCAAGACCAACTTCTTTCACAAAAGTCACTGAAAATCCATTATTAATAGTGAAGGTGTTATTGATGTCCTAGCCTAATGATATTTAGGTAAGATGGTATTCTAAATCTTGGAATTAAAGAACTTAGTTGCAGTCCTTGAAAAGAAATCATTTGGCTAGTATCGGCTCTGGCTCCCTCACCATAAGGTAAGTAGAATGCTAGAAAAAAATAACTCAATTTATTTCCTGAGTTAATTTGCCATAAGTTGAGTTGCAACTGTAAACATGAGAAGATCACAGTAGCATGACTTCTATAATTATTAGAAAGATGTGATAAAGAACACAACTGTGTATTTCACTGGGAGACAAAAGATGGCAAAGCCACAACAGTCATGCCCAATGATGTGTCGTCAAGTGAGTTAAAGACTGTCATTCATTTCATGGGTACTGATAACCAATTCCCGAAAAAGCAAGTAAGACATCTCATGAGGCACTTATGTATAAAATGTATTCCTTCAACTTTGATGGCATTCATAGTTTTCCTTTTGGAGAAAGGAAAGCTATTTAATCCACAGAAGGATCCTATTAAAGTACAATGAAAAGACTTTTGCATCTGTCATCCAAATGCAGCGATTGATGTAAAATTTCACCCAGGTGCTACTTTCATTAGAGCACATTCTGGAGAAATCTGAAAATTCTACATCTCATTTGCTTGTATTTTACACAAATCATTTACCAGACCTGCCTGTATTTCCACTAGAGTGAATGTCCTAAATACAATTCAAGATAAAGAATGTCCTAATTACAATCTTAGAGATAAAGATTTATCAAACATTTCTATTTCTTCTTGTCATGTCTAAATTTCAGAGACATTCTGAGCTCAAAAAGAGCATCATAAGAAACTGATAGTATTCTTTGGTGTAACTGTCACCCGGTCTTAGAGCATAGTTACAACTAAAATAGAAACGGACATAAATACAGTAAAATTATTACACATCAACTTCTTGGTAAATTGAGTTTCAATACCCATGATGCAAAGGAGTAGCTTTTATATAAGTTCCTGTACTCCTTAAACTTAAAGCATAGTCTGTGTTTTCACTTAAAAATACCTGCCTAACCGAAGTCAGGAATTTCATTTTTTAATGGTGTCAATTACATTTCAAAGACCATTATTAAGTAAACCTTAAATTAATTTGTGAACAACCCGGGGTGATGGAAGTAGAAAGTAGAAACATATAAGCACCTAGGCCAACAAGAAACACGAATGGCAGATTCTTGAGTGCCAGATTTCACCCTGTGTGCTGATTATTCAACCCTCTCACCCACTGATTTTTCTACACCAGGCGGAACAGTAAAATAGTTTCAAAGAAATTCCCCGGATTCCTTTATTGCGGTCGCCTGTGCCAGTGTGGACAAATGGAAGATGCTATTCTCAGTCTTAAAGCGCTTGTACTGGCCCCGCACGGGCCTACTGTCCTTGTGGCTTCTGTGCCGGAGAACCCGGAGGCGCAGCGCTCTCGGCAGGGCGCTGGGCAGGAGTGACCGGAAACTGAAATCCATAGCCATTGTAGCCATTCAGGTACACGCACTGGAAGAAGCTGATGGGGCCTGAGGAACAGAGCAGGATAATTAGTTCAAACCAGCAGAACGAAGGTGAGCACAACAAGGCACTGTACCACAGTGAGTGTGGACATGGGCTGTGGAGTCAGGCAGCCTTGACCATGACTGGCAAGTTACCAAAACTTGGTGTCTTGGATTCCTCAGGTGTCCAGTTGAGACAGCAGCAAAAACCTCCCAGAAATATGTGGAAATGAATAAGTAATATACACGAAGCACTTGAAATACTTCCTGGCACACAATAAGCCCTTATTGAATGGATAATAAAAATGATCTAGCATAAACGTCCAAGTGCTTACTTCATAGACTGATGTGTACAGCATTCAGAAAGATTGTGATGTAGGTTTCAAAACAGGAGCTCATCAATATGCAAAGTAACTGGCTTTTAAAAAGTGTTTTAATAACACCACAGAGAGCCTTGTGGTTCCCAATGTTAGATATTCCACTTGCCTGTACTCATTAGGCAATGCCTCCAGGTAGCAGCTCTGTTGTCAGAGCAGAAAGCAGCCGAGTGAGGTGGTGCAGATACAAGCCTGAGCTCGGGCCCAGGAGGCTGGGGAACCCAGGCAGCGGCTTGTTCAGAGATGGCCTCTCTTTACAGTCATGCACACCTGCAGACTCTCCAGTGTTTTCCATCCTGTCCATTTGCAGGCTGACACCCAAAGACAGACTTTTTTGCAGATGGCCAGGGAAGAGAATGACAATGCAAGCTAGTAGTATGGGGAATACCAGGAAGCTGGCCAAATAAAGCAAATAAAGAATAAATAAAAGCCTGAGTTGAAAAAACAAAAAGTGGAGGGAGGCAACAAGAGATTATTTAAGAGATTATTATTCAGGGATTGGTGTCAACTGGCTTCAATCCTGGGTTTTCAATAATGCAAAGAGTTTGGAGAAATCTTGGAAGGAAAAAAAAAGCCTGTTTCTTTTTTGTTCTAGTACCAAACAGGTGCAGTATCATACCTTGTCCCCTCCCCCAAGGTTGTTGCAACTTGGGAGAGAGACAGGCTTCTGAGAGGGATGGCATGACAGCTAGGCCTGTGTTAAGGACAAATGCGAGTATTATTGCTAAAAGTAGAAGAGTCCATCAAAGACAGCCCACCTTACAGATGAACCTTATCAGAGGTAAGGTTCTATTCTACCACGATTATTTAATCATAGTTGAATAGGCTATTTATGAAAACATCACTGTAACCTGGCCAGTGTGGCTCAGTGGTTGAGCATCAATCTATGACCAGGAGGCCATGGTTAGATTCCTGGTCAGGGCACATGCCCAGGTTGCAGGCTTGATTCCCAGTGTGGGACTTGCAAGAGGCAGCCAATCGATGATTGTCTCTCATTGTTGAAGTTTCTAGCTCTCTCTCCCTCTCCCTCTCTCTCTGAAATCAATAAAAATACATTAAAAAAAAAAAACCAACAGGTCACTATAGCTGCAAATTTTAGAGCTTATATAAGTTGTATGAGTATCAGACTACAGGACTACTTTATAGTAAGTTAAAAATAGAAAATACTATTTTGCTATGGTAAGTCTGCCAATTGAATTAAAATATGTAATATCATTTTACTAAAATATTGAATTATTTATTTATTTATTTTTCATTAAACTTTTACTTTGAAATAAAAATTAAAAATAATGCAGAGGGATCCCATGTATCCTTTACCCAGATTCCCCCAATGGTAACATCTTTGAAAAATTACAGTGCAGTATCCCAACCAGGAAATTAACATTGACACCATCCACCTACTTTATTGAATTATATTTTGAAATTTATTTATGAAATAAGAGATTTTAAGTGTTTATGTGATGTAGCCACAAATTGTAACCAGTAGATAAACAATTAGGAAAGTGTTGCTGTATAAATCAGAAACGTGCCCAGATTGAATTTATGGATTTTGCAAAAATATCTAAACATATTAGAGTTGCTTGTTTTCTTGTATTTCTCATGTCCTCATCATTTGAGGGGTTATAATGAGCATCTCTAATAGCTAAACAGAGTTTGGAACACAGTAGGCATTTAAGATTTGTTTGATGAATTACATACTAACACAGAGTAGGAGGCATTTGCTAACGCAGAGGGCATTTTTATAATTTCCTGCAGAAATACATTTAAGAAGCATTGTAGACCCAGAGCACATTGACATCATTTCCTAGGGAAATGTCTATTCTTTACTTTAAAAACATTATGTAGAATAAATTCCAGTTATACCTATTTTAAAAATTGCTTCTTTTATTCTGCTCAGCAACAATTTTAATGCCTATATGAATCCAAATTGCTATTCAGATGGTATTGCTTTACTAACTGAAGAAAAAATGTCTAATTTGGAAGGAGAGGAATAATGAGGATCATGGGCACTGAATTTTGTAACTGCACATGAATATTGATTGCATTCTAAAATCAACGATCTCCAAAACTGAATATTAAGAGCCTACCATCTACCTAGAAAAAAAAACAAAACCTTTCCATTAATGACTTATAACTACATTTTTTTATATATAAAAATGTTCAGCTTATTACTCCAGCTGTCTTTTTTTTTATTAACCAGATAGTAACATATCCAAGCACAGACTCAGCCTAAGTGCTCAGGATCAGAGCTGTAGACAATGGTTGGTGACAAATGCCATGTTAGTCATTATTTTGTAATTCTTCCAAATATGTGCATTTTGCCTGACACAAAAAGTAATGAGCTACTATTTGAAGTATAAATGATCCACACTAATGTTATTCTTCATGTACTAAAAACCTTTTTGTTCTCACATCTGTCTTCAAAGAATTTAGTTTTAATTTATATGTCCCATCTTTACCACAGATCCACATAACAGTTTTAATTTAATTATAAACTTACTTCTTTGCTTCTTTGTGGAAGACACATCTTCAGCTTCTTCTAGAGGATACAAAAAATAAGAACATAAATCACTTTTACGTTCACAGCTGTTATACAACAAATAAGTAGGGTTCTAAAAATGTCTAAACAGGTACATGGTATGAAAGGAACTGTAATTACTTGTCCTTCTTACAATACACTCTAGGTTCTTATTCAGATTCTGTGCAATCTTTCACTATAAAATTTAATAGGTAAGAGCCAGCAGTAGAAGAGGAGCTGATGAAGGAAAAGAATGTAGCATGCCACAGGCAATTGTTCAGGTAAGAAACTTCCTGCCCTAGCCAGTTTGGCTCAGTGGATAGAGCATTGGCCTGCAGATCACAGGGTCACAGTCTCTGTTCTAGTCAAGGGCACATACCTCCTTTGCAGGCTCATTCCCCTGCCCCTGGTCCGTCAGAGACAACCAATTGATGTGTCTCTCTCACATAGATGTTTCTCTCTCTCTCTCTGTGTCTTTCCCTCGCCCTTCCCTCTCTCTAAAAATCAATGGAAAAAAATGTCCTTGGGGAAAGATTGATAACCACAACATCCAAAACACAAAGAATAAACCTCCTGATGTGTTGGATTTTGGTGGGTGAGGGTTAGCAGACACACATTACATTCTTAAAAGAAAACATTGATGCTCAGTGTTAAAATAATATGGTCAAGGTAGAATCTGGCTATGACAATTTCAGTGAAAATAATTCTAAATTTGGGAAGGACGTAAGTTTTCAGTGATCATCCTTGCCGGAAAATAATAGCAGCAGGCCTGTCTCTGGGTTCTTTCCTTTTCTTCTCTGACACAGGGGCTTCTTTTGCTGTTGCGACATGCACCATGTGTTTTCCTTGTGATGGGTAATTTTAAGCCATTCATTTGAACCCCTTTCTCCAGGTTAGAAGTTCTTAACTGGTCTCCATAGATGGGCTTTGGAGGTGGGGTTCCTGTAAAACCCTTAAAATGTTAAGGTGTGAGTATATGTGTGAATGTGTATGTTTCATCAAAAGTTAGGTTTTAGGTTTTATCAAATTCTAAATGAGCTCAAGAACCTTCCTTTTCAAAGTACGATCTGTGTACCAGTACTTGCCCCATTATTTGGGAAATGGATATAAAGATAGTTCTTAGGCACCAACCCAGATTTACTTCATTTTGACAAGATTGTTAAGTGATTCATATAGAAAATAGTTCAAGAAGTAATGGTTTAGAAGTCAAAAACATATTGGGTTGTTCTTAATAATTGATTTGTTTAAAAAAATCTAAAAATTCAGTACTCAAAAATGTATCTTAAGACAAGTAAAAATCAGTTTTCAAAAGACTCAGGATATCTAATTCTCTGTGATTTTTCTCAAGGCATTATTTTCTACACTGTTAATTCTGGGCACTGCCACAGAACTTACATTTTCATGGTAAGAACAACTCTTAGGCAAACTCTTATTGTCCAGAGGCAAGTTTAAAGAAGTAGAAGAGAAAATATCTGTTCTATAACAAGCCAAATCAAGAAGCCAGGAAACTTTAATAAAGTTTAATAAAAATAAATAAGAAAGAAAGAAAGAAAGAAAGAAAGAAAGAAAGAAAGAAAAAAAAAAGAAAGAAAAAAAGAAAGAAAAAAGAAAGAAAGAAAAGGGAGGGAGGACATGTTGGGGGGGCAATGGCATATGTACACAGATAATAATTTAATAAAAATAAATAAAAAAAGAAGTCAAGAAACCCTTCAGGGGGAAAAATGCATCAAATTATTTGAAACCCTTGCAATAAAGATAAACTTTAGTCCTGAGAAGACTTGCTCAGGATCATGCATCTCGTTGTACCAGATTTTTCTAAGGTTTGAGACCTTCCTTTCCTTTCCTCCCCTCCCCTCTCCTCTCCTCTCCTCCCCTCCCCTCCCCTCCCCTCCCCTCCCCTCCCCTCCCCTCTCCTTCTCCTTCCCCTTCCCCTTCCCCTTCCCCTTCCCCTTCCTTTCCTTTCCTTTCTTTTTTCTTTATGCTATTGCTGCTAGTATAGGCAAGTTATCTTAATTTTTCTTAATAAAAATATGTTAAGCTAAGATTTCAACATTTATGTGCTTTTCCTTGCTAAGATCCCCTTAATTCTTGGTTAGATGATAATTTGGAAATATTGCTCTTGCATCTAATAATTACTTGTAAATAAGTCAGTGTCCAACTAGAAAGATTCTCTCTCACAAATAATAGGAAAAAATGTTTTTTGAAAATACACATCTACCATATAAACATTGCTTAGAAAAAAATTAAGGGCGAGGGCAAAAATAATTAAATAAAATAGGCAGTTGAAATATTATGGTCTTGAGAAAAAGTTCATAAGTGAACTTAAGATAATAAACTCACCTTCAGCTTTCTTTGGAGCTGGGACATCTTTAGAATCTTCTAGGAAGTAAACAAACAAAAATTAGTTTATTTTCTGGATTTCCCAAAGGGAAAGTATTGTATTTAACGGGTTTTAAGAGTCACAGGATCTCTTAACTTATAAACTCAGCATCTAGTTATCTCTACAAACAAGAGCTTCTAGAGAAATAAGGCAACTTCTCCGACTCAGAGAACTGGGGAGAAACGAATGCCATGATGCCAGGATATGGGCAGCAGCAGCCAAAGCTGGCCAAAGCAAGGAGGGCCTGCAGGGACCCTCCCAAATGGGCCCCTCCTCCTCTGGCTCCTAAATTGTCTTTCAAAATCACAATCACCTTTGGAATCTAGAAAGTTTGAGGTAAATGAATCCTCATACACAATGTAGATCAAGAGGAAAATATCCATCCATATATTTTACTAACAAACTGATGTTTGATAATTGTAAAGGCAATTAAAAGACATTAGATGTTGAACTAAAGCCAAAATATATAGAGAATGAATCTTAAGATGCATTATTTATATTGCTTGGTTTTTGTGTATTCTACTTAAAAGTACCTAATAGAATAATGTGGAAATAATTTTGGCACAGATAATTCTAATGCCATATAATTAAATGATCTTTAAATTTTCATATCAACTTTTAGCAGTTGTAACGAGCTGAAAGAAGGTCAATTTTGTATTATTTACTCATGTTTTGCATACCAGCAGTTCACAAATAAATATAAAAGAGGTAAAATAGGTCATTATGCAAATTGTCTCAAATGGGAAAGAAAGGTGACTTTTTGTAAGAAATTTTATTATGTAAAAGGAAAAAATAGGAAGTAGAAACATAATTACTAGCCTTTTTATTTATAGAAAATTAGTGGAGTTTTAACCTGATTAGTTTTCTAAAAGGTTTAAATGCAGGCTTAACTCACCTAAACATTGGATTAAATTCCCATGGTCTTAAACTGTCCAATCGACAGATATAAGTAAAAGTACAGTATAAATGGTTATAGGGTATTTTGAAAGAACTGATACCTGTATTTAAAGAATAATGTTAGATAAGTCCAATAATATTTTAACTGTGAAATAAAAATCTGGTAATGTTTATGGGAGATATTTACAGAATTAAAATGACACAAGGTCCTTGTACACAATAAATGTACACTATTTTATAGATTATAGCACACCTAAAACTAAGACACCTACCCTCTGGATCTATTTGTTACCCCCGGGGAAATAAATGTGGAGAATAAAAACCTTAGCTTCTTCTGTATCCCAAATTCTAGTTGTATAGTCAAAGTGAAAATTACCCTGGAGTTTTCCTGTAATTTGCTCATATAAGAAACAGTTACTTTTTAGCTATAAGAGTTACATGTGCTCTCTTTCTGGGCCATGTACTCTCTCTCTCTTTTCTTTCTTTTTTTTAAAATATATGTTATTGATTTTTTTTACAGAAAGGAAGGGAGAGGGATAGAGAGTTAGAAACACCCATGAGAGAGAAACATTGATCAATTGACTCCTGCACACCCCCTACTGGGGATATGCCCTCAACCAAGGTACATGTCCTGGACTGGAATCGAACCTGGGACCTTTCAGTTTGCAGGCCGAAGCTCTATCCACTGAGCCAAACCGGTTAGACAGAGCATCATGTACTCTTTTGGGTATTTGGGTATTTTACATATGTTTCTACTTACGTCTCACAATAGACCTGTAAAGCAGGTAAAATAATCTCCATTTTTTTTTTTTTTTGAGAAAACAATGAGGTTAAAATAATTTTCTTTCAAGCAACACATTTTAAAAAGCACTAGGAGATAGGAAGCGAATTTTCCTCAATTTTTAGACTTTTGTGATTTTAACTAAACTATTCTAACTCTATATGCAAAGCACTTTGCTATGTGCCCTGAAAGAACAAAAAAGAACCAGAATAGTACCTGAAAGTAATTGGTAGTCAAGTAAAGAAAATGGGCACATATTCAAACAACTATAAGATTCTATAGACTTCAAGGTAGTACGTGACAATTGACAAAATACTAGTAAATGAGAAATATTTTCAGAGAGGAATGGTCACTTCCTCCTATGGAGATCAAGTAAGTGTTTCTGGAATCTATACCATTGGAGATGGACTTGAAAGTTCATTTAATTAGAGGTGGGAAGAATATTCCAGTAAAACAGAATAACAGGACCAAAGTTTTGGATGCAGGAATGCTGAGAACATGGAAATTTAAATTGGGTTTAAAGTGATAGTATAGAAAATGATTATAGAAAAAAATATTTAAAATTTGGTTTAAGTCTGGATCATAAAGGCTGTATAGACCCTCAGGTAAAAAATGTAAAATGTATTCTAAATTCACCAAGAATAAATATTGAGCATTTATTATATAATAATTTGAAATATTGGAATAGTTTGAAATATTGGAAAACCTTATCAATAGAAATGAAAAGGAAGAATGAGAGATATTATTGAGAAGGTAGGCTTCAGAACAATTTGAGGTCTTATCCACAAAGGGGTAGATAGCAAGTTTGGATGAGCACACTGAGGAAGTGCAAAAGGGTAGGAAAGAGAGCTGAGAATGGAAGGACTCAGCCTTGTAGGGGGTGAGGGGGAGGGAGTAGCAGAATCCTAATACTGAAAACAACAACCACCACAACAATTACCTACGTTATGAGAATCAAGAGAGGGAAACAATTCAAAAAGTATGGGAGACAAGCATCGTTTAGCACATCCTAGTGATTGCAAATGGAGGAGAAGTGAGAAAGGGTAACTACGTTTTGTGCTTCAGAGGTCTGGCTGAGTTTGAAGTGCCCTGTTGGAGGAGAGTGTCAGGGCACAATGTTCTGGTTGCACAGAGTTGAAGTCTGAAGAGGCGGTAAAGGCTGGAGGAGACTTGTTTCAGAGTTGTGATTGCAGGTGAAAGCAGAGAGCAACAGCACAATAGCTTCAGGAAGCAAAAAGGGTCCAAAAATTTTACATGTGAAAGTGATCTGAAGATATTTGTAGGCAAAAAAGAAGGAGGATTTCTTAGAGTAATAGCTTAAGGTACATGATTGAGGAGCAAGGATTAGGGGAGGCAAGGACTAAAGTCAAGAAAAAAATGTGATTCTTAACATGGGAGGATAATGTGAGGTAAAATAATGGAAAAATTTAAAAGAAATTGTAGTGTGTAGAGAAGGAACATTTTAAAGAATGCACATTGGTGGCATAGACTGTTAATTCTATTATTATTTTATTTTTAAGATAAAATGTTCTGTGTAAAGCTCAGACTGCTCAGAATATTCTTAACAAACATGAAAAAATAAATAAAAACTTCCTAAATAATGCATGTGCATGTACCACAAGTTGCTCTATATTTATTTCCATTAGCAGCCTATTCAAATTTGTGCAGAGTTTCAAGAAATACTCATAGGTAAACATCTGGAGTTCTGATGCACAGACAAAACAGTACTAGCATAAAGTTTGTATTCTCCGTCATTCCTCTTTCTTTAATTCCCTGCATCTCTTTGTCTTTGCAGAAATACCAACAACTCCAAATGATTTTCTCAACTAATTTGCTGGATTATGTGTAAATAGTATGAGATTTTACATTCTAAGAGTTTACGTGTTTTCTCTTTTCCAAGAAGTCCTAAGGATCCACAGTAGTTCAAAGCTGCAGTTGACAGCCAGATTATTTTAGCTATTAGTTAAGGAAGTCATCTATGCATGCTAAGATTTAAAATAATCAGGAATTCTAAAGAAAATTAACTGGCCCACTGAGCAATATCCACAGAATTCTTGAAATCGACCCCAGGGAATAATAAAGTATGCAGAGACCATTCACCTTAGGGATACTGCACACAGTGAAGCAGTGGTATTTAATAAATGTGTGCAGTCCTTCCTGAGTATCTGTTCTGTCACTCACTCTGAAGATAAGACACAATTGTCTCAATGGCAATGTCAGAACAACTTAACATTACCGATAAATGAATGAGGACACAATGTTGAAATGATTGAAGACACAGCGCTGGTATCCAAAGATTAATAATTACACTAGTCATTTCCACATATCAGTACTCCCCCTTCCTGACCCAAATAACCCGTTGTTGGTAGAGGACCTAGTCCTTCAAAAACAAACAAACAAACAAACAAACACATACACAAGAAATGCAGGCACTAGAGTATCGCTGGGTAGAGGGGATCAATGGCTTCAAAGCGAGAGCTATTTCGTAAATTTCCTTTAGTAAGAGACAAATAAATGACCCCCAAAATAATTAAGAAGTCTAACCCTCCAAATTATACATGTATAGTATGTTGAAAAGAGGGTTCAGAAAAATAACAATGAGGTCTGTGCTAAATTTATCTTTTTTCCAGTAAACAACCCTAACCACAGTTCAAGGTACAAATTCTAGAATTGCTTCCTTCTTGAAGTCTGCCCTGACTAGTTTGGCTGTAGGGGAAAGGTGTGGTGGAGGGTAGTTTCAGAGGGCTTTACTGAGGATAAACTCTAAGGTTTGCCCTTGCATTAGTGAGACAAGTTTGTATCCTTTTAATTATTATCCTTCTTAAAATTCCTAAAGCAAGTCCATATGGATTTTTATCTTTTGCAGAAAAAGCATTTTTAATGATATATGTAGCTTTGGGGAATTGAAATGAGACCAGTAGAAACTGAAAGGTTCTGTAAATATAAAATACACACATAATTCAAAACATGTTTATATTGATACCTGCGGGCTTGGTATTTGTATGTATAGAGTTAAATAACATGATTAAACTTAATTTTTTTTACTCTTAATGTGTCATCTAGAAAATTTTAGTTGGCTCACATATTGCATTAAATAATACTGACTTAAAATGATTTGTTTTTCTTAATCTGGATTAAGAAATCTTTTATTTCTTAAAATGGAAGTAAAATGACTACAGACTGATTCATCTGCCTCTCAGCATAACCATTATGGCTTTTCTCAGTTTAGGTTCTTACAAGGGTATTTCTTAGATCACAAGATCTCACACATCTAGAGGAAATGATGAACAACATAGAGAGATGAACAAAAACAGACTCAGAGAAAGAGAAGCAGCGAACAGACTTTCAAACCTCAGAGAGAAAATAGGGGAGGATGGGGGTAAAGGGGAAGAGATCAACCAAAGGACTTGTGTGCATGCATATGGGCCTGGCCAGTGGCCATGGACAATCGGGAGGGCGGGGGGTGGGGGAGGTGAGGGCATATGTAGGGAGGGTTTTGGGATGGGATTGGGGGGATGAGGACAATTATGTGATATCATCATTAATAAAAAAACGGGAAAAATGATTATTTCCTGAAGTTTTGGGAAGTTATAGAAAAATGTTGAGTTATATCCTAAACATTAAGACCCCTATCTTTATCTTAATATTTGAGAGTGTGTTTTGAAGCTATGTATGTTTGTGCTATACAAGATTAGATCCATTCTTATGTTATTCTCAGGTATGCAATTATACTTCAGTTCATGAAGACTAGGAAACAACAAAACTGAACCATAATTACTTGACCTCCCATGCTGTATAGCAAATTTTTAATGATGAAAGGTTTAAAACAGAAGCAAGATTATTTTCTTTCATTCTACTTCAACCACTGCAAACATTTATTTATTTGAATGCAGGTCATTAATCTTCAGACTCAAGAACATGATAAAGTATTTCTGTTATAAGCTGTCATTTCAAATGATGTAGTTTTATGTGTGTTTTTAAGTTTCAGCATAAGTAAAATTAAAAGTTAACAAATTCTTGTCAGAGGTTTCAATATAAAAGGATTCAAATTTGAAATACATTGAGAATATAAATATATTATGAATTTCAGTTTGAAATTTATGCTGTGTACCAAAGAGAATTTTTCATCAATAGAAGCGGTACTTACTTGATACTCTTGCAGGCTTTTCTGCTAAAAAACAAAATGAAAAGGAAACAAGTTAATGCAAATAAATTATATATCAATGAACCATATGAAAGTTTCTAATATCTTTTTACTTTCTCCTTATTGCTAATGAAGAAATATAACTCTATTGCCTGCGAACAAAGATCTGTGAATCTCTTAATTGCTTTTATGTGAGAAATTAAAAAAGCTATTAATCATTGTAGGTGTCACAACATATTTATGCTTTTTAAACACTCCTCTAAAATCAGCAGAATCTTTTTAAAATTAAGTGTTTTGGCTCAACTATAATTATGCCTGATTTGAAAAAATTACTTTGGATGATATAATTAATCTAAATATTTGCTTTTAAGTTTCCAAATTTTATAAAAATATATCATTGAAAATTATTTTCCTTTCAAAAGTGAATAAAGACAAATAACTACCAATTGGACTGTAAAATCAAATCTTAAAACCAATATGCAAAGTCAGTTTAATTTTTCATAACTATCTACTTATTAGTTTCAATGATATAATAATTTTTCAAAATAATAGGGTTTTCCGTTAAATTGTATATAAGTAGGACAAAAATATACAGTGAGATGATAGTCTCAAATATTATAGCAGACATTCTAAATTCTTGTAAAAGAAGAGGATTGGTAATACCTGTATTCTACCAACATTAGTCTAATTTAAAATACGAGGCTTATAAATATTCATTTTTAAAGGAATCGGCATTATGGAATTTACTTTGAGACTTGTAGAATTTCTTTTTAAATATATATTTTATTGATTTCAGAGAAGGAAGGAGAGGGCTTGAGAGATAGAAACATCGGTGATGAGAGATAATTATTGATCAGCTGCCTCCTGCATACCCCCAAATGAGGATCCAGCTGCAATCTGGGCACGTGCCCTGACCAGGAATTAAATATTGACCTTCTGGTTCATAGGTCGACGCTCACCCACTGGACCACCCTGGCTAGGCAAGCCTTGTAGAGTTTCTAATATAGACTTAATTCTGAAGTTTCTAAGAATTACAAATTTATAAAAATTAAGTTAATGCCAAGAGAAAGTGTTTTTAAAAACACTTCACTTGGATCCTATGTTTTCAGTGCTATTATAGCAATACACCTCATATATAAATAGAAAAATAAATAAAATAATGCAGGAAAATACTTCTGTAAGGCTAACATGTTATTATTATTTTTTCCTTAAAAATACTAGGTTTGGCTAAAAAGAAGGGAACTTAGAAAGGAATCAATCATTATCGAGATATAAAAACTCTCTGTTGAATGAAGGAATGAATAGAAAAATTATTATACTCTCAACTAACTGGGCTTGTGCTTTCTAATGTAACAATTCTTTTCTACCATGTGTATTCCTAATATAAGGATCTTAGAAATGATGCACTCAGAACGAAGTCAGAAAGGAGTACCCCTCCAATGTCTGGGTCCTTTGCTCAGCCCTTGAATCATAGCTTTAATGGACCATCTCCTTGGGAATAATGTGAGATCCATTTTATCTTTAGGCTGCTCTAATTGATACAAAGCTCCCCTTTTATTGTCACAGTGTAATAGGAGAGTAAAATATGATTGGGGAGGCTTAACCGTTAAGTCTCTGGCATCTTATTGACTTAGAACCAAATCCTGAATCTACCATGTAAACACTCTGAGACATTAGACTTATTTTCATCACACTTCATCACCTTTCAACTAACTGGGCATGATAATTGGTCCTGTACTAAGGTTTAAATGAACTTATAATAGGAAAGGATATGGCTATATTTTTGTTTTTTTAAATAATTCGTTTCTTCTCATTCTTCTTGCCGATTATCTTAAAATATATTCACATTTTGGGAAAAGTTCCAATATGCAAATTGTACTCCTATATCTTTCTACAAATTTGTTTTGCTCTCTTATTCTAATTTTACCCCTTCATATTACTGATAATTATATGTCTAAATTATTAATAATTTTATGTCTGAGTTATATGTCTAAAACATGCTGCCATTTCAGGTACACATTCTACAACACCAGCAACAGAGAACCAGTGAAAAAATAAGACCCCACCTGCCACTCCATCCAAACACACTAGATAGAGATCTATGTTTTACTATGAATGAGAAGACTTGTTCAATCAGACAGGAGTGAGATGGAAACCAATACTTAATGAGTGCCAACCAAGTATGTAATGGAAATGTTACACATGTTATTTCATTTAATACTTACAACAAGCTTTTGCTGTTATGCCTATTCTTTAGATGAGAAAACTGGGAATCTGAACAGTTAAGGAATTTTTCCAAATGTTTCACAGTTAGCTAGAGATTCAAATTTAGATACTATTTCTACAAATCTGTTATCTTCCATGGAAAAATAAATATTTACCTGCTTCTCTGACTTCTGATGTTTCCTCTTCAGAAAAGAATACAATAGGATAAAAGGGAAGAAAAAGAAATAATACTTTTTTTTTTTAATTTAAGTACCAATTGAGCATCAACTGCAGATATTGCTGATTAATTTCTAACAGTAAGGGCAATAGAGGCATATACTCAAAATGGCAAAGTAATACACTGTTAACTAATATTTCTAGAAACTGTAACTAGAAATCTATTTTGGAAATAGAACCACTTTTTGAACAATCTTAGTCTCTTCACATGTGGTAGAATTAATCTATAACAATAAAAGTGTAATATGCAAATCGACCAAATGACCGAACAGCAGGATGGACATCTGGATAACCTGGATGACCATGCTATGATACGCACTGGTGCCAGGCCAGCCAAGGTGAGTGTGATGCAATTGGTCAGGGGGCCGCGCCATTGCTGCATGATTGCCCCACAGAGGGAAGCCAAGGCCACTGGCTGGTGGCGCTGTGATGGATGTGCAGAGCCTCCTTCTGTGGGGCTGGCCAGTGATCGCCCCTCAGAGGGAGGCTCAGGCCAGCCAAGTGATCATACCCCATGCTTGTTGCTTGCAGGGGGAGGTAACCAGTGGTGAGAATGGAGGGGTGGGCAGCGTTGCATAGATGGCAAACAGTGGCAGCAGAGGGGAAGGAAAGCCCTGATAAGCCCTGATCACCAGCCAGGCCTAGGGACCCTCCCCGAGGGGTCCTGGATTGTGAGAGGGCGCAGGCCAGGCTGAGGGACACCCCACCCTATGCATGAATTTTGTGCATCGTGGTCTCTAGTTTATTATAAGTCCTTTGGTTTAAATGACTTAATTATAAACAATTACAAATTATAAATCTCCATTACATCAACTTTTAACTTGATTTTCATATATCCATGTAAGCACACATTCATTGAATATATTTATAAAGCAACTTCATGTATAATATTTACAAAGTGCAATGGGTGGGATGGTGGGATGAGGTTGGAAAATATCACAGAAATAAAATCAACTTATGTGACTACAATTGAAGTAATGAGACAAAATATAAAATGCTAGTTTTCCTTAGCTTATTATAATACAGATCAGTCTTTCATTTTGTTTCTTATGCAAATTTATAGACTAATACTTGAAAAATATTATGTCAGGTTTTTCAAAAGATCTTTCCTTACAAATCAGCTGAAGTGATAACACTTTCTGTAAACCTGATAATTTATTATCAATTTTGAATCTATTTTTAAAATTCAAGAAGAAATGATTAAATATTTTATAATAATGAGGATAGAAAATAGTTTCATAAATAAAACAGTATTTACAAATGATTATATTTCATATTAGCATTCTAGTTTTGACTTTCAAACTTCAATTATTATTATATTCTTCACATTAGTAGCAATAACACAAACTAGACTAGAGGTTTTCTCCAACTCAAAAGCAACATTCAATGTTTTGCATAGAGTCAATTCAGAAGAAAATTGTAGCTGTATTTGTAAGAATATTTCATAACATTCAAGTTGTTGTTAGTCCTAGTCACTTAAAAACTTTAGATATAACTTCTAGATACACTCTTGATTGAAATTCACATATTTTTACCCCAGGGTAACGTCTGGGTCACAATTTCACAGTATGAAATAAACATTTCATTTTTATAAGATTGCATGACATTCATACGTTTTAAAGATTTCATAAATGGTTGTGTTTTTATTATTGTTTGAAACCAAAATAAAACAATAATTCTGAAATATTAAAAACAACTTACCTTTCAAATTTGAAAAAAGAAAAAGAAAATAAAAGCTAATGTGTTAAAATTAAATAATTGAAGACAGATAATGAGTTCAGCATTTTTCTTAACCCAGTGGTAATCAGCAGAGAGAACTCCACATTGTTTCCTCAATACATCCTAACAAACAACTGAAAGTATATAAAAAAGAGATGTAACCACTTTTTCCTGCACAGGTATTAGTTATCATGGTAAATGTCTTAATTTCACAGATATTATCATAGGCACCTCTCAACAACACCAGAGAGGTGTCACTGGACAGGACAGCCCCCTGAGCCAATGGGAGAGGGCTGTTCCCAACCTCAATTCTTGTCTTCCCATATAAATGAATTTAAGCAAGAGACTTTGACTGTACTGTGCAAAGCCAAGTTATTAAAAACAATTAAAGCATATATCTTTATTGAAAAAAAAAAAAAGCAAAAGCAAAGCAAGCAAACCCATACATCTGGCTTATGAAGCACAGACAAGCTCTCAGCTAATCTGAAGAGCAGGTTGGGAGGGAGGTCTGAGGCATTATACACCCTCCTGTTTAGAGGCTTAAAAATTCCTCTGCTGGTTATTTGGGTGCAGATTCATTCTCAAGGTCCTTTTTTTTTTTTTTTTTTTTTACTTTGTTGTGTCCTTCCCAGAATTCATGAGAGGCACCTGCCAACCTAATCTTGCTTAGTGGGCTTCTCTGTTGGGAGTAAAATGGCCCTATTTCCTTTCTCCATTCCCCCTGACCTTCCTGCATTCTCTCATTAGGGAGGTTTTTAACTTATTTGCCTGGGTGTCCGTGCCTGGGGAAGATAATGGTTTGTCAGTTACAAGCTGGCTGCAGATTGCCCACACTGTTCGGCCTTGTTTTAACTTTCCTGTCTGTTTCCCTCTTTGTCTGGCCTGGAATCCTGTAATAGTTTTAGCTGGCTCCAACTGTCACGTGCATATTTCCTTCGTCCTTTCACCCCATACTCTATATGCCTACCCTATTTCTAACTCCTCTCAGTATGAAAACAAATCTTTTTAGGCACTCTTTATGGTATACTGATATGGTATAATACATCTAATAAGTGCTCAATAAATACATGTTCAAGGGTTAATAAATATAATACATACAATATTATTTCTCAATCAAAATAACTTATATTGTTAATGCCATAATATACTTTTTGACTGCATGTACAACTCAAATAAGTTACATATTCAAAGTAATTGCAAGTTCTTAAAATTCTAAAATGGTACACTTACTTAGAGTTGGTTTTGGTTTGTCTAAAAAGTAAAAAATAAAAGAAAATTAGTGATAATTTTCTATCTGTAGAAAAAATATCAGCCAGTTTTGTTTCCTATTTCTGTTTGTTCAAGGTAAAATAGACAAAGGCTAAACTTACAATTAAAATGAGCAATAAATAATGCATTTTTAAGAATTTGTAATTAATATTTCCAGTGAATTCCCCAAACAAGAAGTTGTAAAGCTGAAAAATATAGATTCTTCATGGTCTCTTATTTTTTTAAAAGTATATTTTTATTGATTTGAGAGAAAAGAGAGAGAAAGATGGAGAAATAGAAACATCAATGATGAGAAAGAATCATTGATAGGCTGCCTCCTGCATGACCCCCAGTGGGCTTCAAGCTTGCAACCTGGAAGGTGCCCTTGATTTGAATCAAACCCAGGAACCTTCAGTCTGCAGTCCAATGCTCTAACCACTGAGCTAAACCAGCAAGAGCCATGGACTCTTTTTTATTTTGGTAAAACCTCATCTTTGGTTTGATACAAGATGAATGCTCATGGTAATCTGAATTCCTGTTTCTGAATGGCATAAAGTACTTCTTTTATCATTGCCTTTACAAAATACATATTAATTAATATAAACGATTTAAACTCTTCCAATATAGTTTTTAAATAAAAATGCTGACTTTATAAAATTGTAGGAAGAATAAATAAGAGGTAGATGAAAAATGCAAAGCTTCACCCCTTTCTCCAATATAGCTTGTCTTTTGAAGTTATTAATCAAAAGCTTTAATTATTCAGTCTTATATATCAAGATCTATTTATTCATTAAAAAGTAGCCAACATTTGTTCATGATTGTGAAGAACTTGAAGGTTTTAAAATTAGGCCAACTAATTCATTAACACTAGGCAATACGATTGATATAACTTTTTTAAAGAACAATGAAAAAATCTATATAAATTACATTGAATATACCACTTTACTAAAAAAAAGTTACTTTAAGAAATTTTACACCAAAGATAAACTCACAAAACTAGACAAGTAGATGTATTTATTACTGTAAATCATTAAAGAAAGCTTGTTAGACTACTCAATTATATATCAGTCAGAGACTAGTTAAGTAAAGTGTGTGTGTACAACTGTATAAGGTAATATTATTAATGAGATGGATTTTTATCTACTGATATAAAAATATCTTCAAAATACACTCATGATTAGAAAAATCTCAGAAAAAGATAATTTATACAATTTATACTATGCTACGATTTGTATAAAAAGTGGGAATATTTATTATTTGTAAATATGATGTGTATGTATATATTGCTAGAAGAATACATTAAGAAAAAACAGTGATCACCTATTTTATATTACTAGAAGATATTTTGTGAATGGGAACTGGTATAATAGGGGGGAAAAAGAAGAGGGAGAGATATTTTCTCAATCTTCTATTTGCCTTGGTGTTTGAAACATGCCAAATATTATATATTTAAAAAAATAATATTCTTAAAATAATCAAGCTATGATAGAATGGTATAATTTATATTTAAAGAAAATATGTCTTGTTGAAATTCATAATTTGTTTTCAGTGAAGTATGTGCAATTTTATAGGATATTTTATAATACTATAGTAAATCAATGTCATCAATATGATAAATGATATTAATATTGACAACAGTAAAGTAATATTGAAAGGGTCTTGTGAATATGAAAGAAAATACTATTGTATTAGTAGTGCTGTATTATAATAGCATGTTTGCCAATTCATATATATTAGTTATAAGTTTAGTAAAAATGTTTGTCAATACCATAGCTCCATGTCAGATAAACTAGATTTTACCACAAAACTAGAAGGTTAAGCACTCCCAGAAAATAAAATAAAAAGCATTTTATACTTTGCTTTAATTTTCAAATTTAATAAAAGCAATGAATTAAAACAATGTAAACCAAAAGACAAAAACACCTGTTTTTATATGTGGAGATTCTTTTTCTTGATGTTCAGCTTTTTCTAGAGAGAAAGAAATAAAAATTAACTGATAATTAGTGGATTGTTTGTGCAGCAAGCTTTTCTTATTTGTATATTTGCAGGCTATCATTGACATGGGAAACATGCCCCAAAAGTCATTTGCATGTAACTTGGAACACAGAAAGCATATTGCCATGGAAACACATTAAAAACAAGGTCAGGTTCATTCTCAGGGCATCCTGAAAGACAGTTGCAAAGATACTAGCCTCTTGGGGCCAGATGGTATAAAAAGAAGATAGACTATGACAAAGGGGAACAAGAGGATTTTTCTTTCTTTGCTGAAGGTTGAGGCATTCCTTGGGGACACTTTAAAGTAGATGACATTTGCTCTTGGCATATTACAAACTCCCTTTTTACCTCTCTGACTCCTTCTAGCTCCCTTTTCGCTGGGTCAGAAGCAATTTGGCACTGGACATATGTTTCTTGTAGAAATGTTGACCTAGACCTGCCCTGTTTCAGAAAGTACCACGTTTGTATTTGTATTTTCCTGGACCACACACTTTCTTCACAGGTCCAGCTAGAATTCTCACAGATAAATGTAAACTACATCTAGGACATGACAAACTGAATCAAAGTGTGTAACTAATATCCTTCTTCGTCCTCTGAAAAATATTCGAATAAAAGGAAAAAAGAGGTCTCTCTCTCTTACATCAAAAGTAGAATTCCAAACAAAGCCATGTAGGGTAGGGTATTTTGAATAAAACAGAATATTCAGAAATAGAGACCATTGCCAAACGTTAATTCTTTTTAATTCTTTTTTTCTAATCACCTCCAGGGCTAGTCTTCATCAGATATTATCGATATTTACCCATTCTTTGCTTATCTCACTCCTGAGTTTGGAGACTCTCTAAATGTATTGCTATTTATCCCCGACATGGATTCACCAACAGTGAAGGAAGTGAGGAGATGTGGGACCCACACTGTCATAAGATTAAACTGGGTATATGTAAATTAGGGATTGGCAGAATTCAAGAATGAGCTTCAAGGAACTTAGTTTGCATAAATATTAATAGTAAATAAGCATGCAAAATAAAAGAAAATTAAGAAGTTAATATTCAAGACTCCTATACTAATAACAACACAATAGCATAAGAAATTATAGTAATAATACTATAAAATGTTCTTTCAAAATGTAAGAGGTTCCAGGATGGGAATATTTAGGCTCTATATGTTTGTAGCATATCTCCTGAACAATTTATACAACCTCCTAATGGGCTTCACCAAACTCATCTTTGGACCTTGTTGATCCATTTTCACACAGGAGCTAGAGAATATTTGACTAATTTATGCCTTCACCCAAGCTTCTGTTTCACAAACATATATAATTCAAGAACCTTCATCACAATTTGATACAATCTTGGACTTATTTATGATTTTTGTAACAATAGGCAAATGTTTACGCCTTCCTGAGTCCAATAGTCAGCTTTTAAACTCCTACAGCTGAATTAATCTCTGTATCACTTCTGAGCAATAAAATTACTGATCACTGATCACTTATGAGAAAATTCCATGGTTTTAATAAATCACAAAATGTTTATAATCTTATGAATTTCTAAATACTAATGAATACCTACGATATAATGAATGCTTCTTAAAACAAACAAATTATAACTTTATGTGGTTCATAATACTGACAATTATATAGCAGTTCCTATTTTTTTGTTATTTATTTTGTATGTTTGAAAGGTGCTCATCTATCTTAACTTCTTAGTATTATTTTATAGCTGATATGGAATCTCTATTTTATCTTAATAATATCAATAAAATTTCCAGATATTTCTTCTGCATAATAAACTATTAATTAGTAGTGAAAGGGAAGGATGTTAAATCAAAGCCATAGCAAGTACATTAATTTGTCACCTATACAGGTGTTTTAGTCGGAGGCAACGTTAAAAATATTTTTTTAAAAATCACATGGTTAAACTTGAAATAAGCAAGACTTTTCAGGCTTTATTCTTTTCATCTCTTACTTGCTGATTTAGGCTTAACTGTGGAGAACAGAGAAAAATAAATGCCATATTGATGAGTATAAACCATGGAAAAATAATTCTTTAGCATTATATTTTCTTAGTTTTTAGATTTTCTTCTTAAATTTAATCTATTTGCCCTGCTAATAAAAAAAACTAAGACACACAAAATGTGTGTAAAATTTAAAACAATCCATGCATTGGGCTACTTTCTTTTTAACCCCCAAATACCATATACCAGTAACTAAATAAGATACTCAGGAGGCATATTAACACCTTTCAGTGAAAACTAGGGGCACATTAACTGAAGTGATGAGCTTAGGCAATGATCTGAATAGAGTAAAACTGTCATAAGAGGAATATGAAGTGGCCTTGTGCATTTATTTCATGAGATAATAGCCTGTAATTTCTCTTAGTATAATAGTTCTTTTCTCAGTTCCATTATGTTTTCTCTGAGAGGCTGTATTTAAATCTTTATTATCATAATTATCTCAGTTGAAAAGAAATTACTTCACAGACTTTTTCCTTTGGAATTGTTTTTAATAAGAGATGGGACTCTAGTGATGTGTAGGATTTCTGTTTTGAAATCAAATGGAGGAGATTCCATGTTTCAAGTTATCAATAGGACTGAAGACTCAGTTTTGTTCATCTTTACAGAAAAGACTTCTATAACTGCAAAATTGTGTGCTCTTTATTTTTCTCACATGAAATATAAAAGATGGACAGTCTTTCCTTTAATGTTATATATTCTGCTTATCATTGTTTAGGGCAGGTTTTAAAGGTTATACAACCATCTAGCTTTCTGTGGAGCTCTCATGAGAGGAAATTATTCTATATAGTGCATAAATAACAGACAATTATTTTTGTCTTTATAATTGAGAAAATGTGGTTTGAAGACTGTGGTTTGAGTGGTTTGAAATGTGGTTAAACACTCACTAATACACAACAATCAATGCATTGCATGGATTTATTCAAGAATTATTTGTAAACTTAGGTCAATAACATTTTAAAAAATAAGATTGTTATTCCAGTTTTCCAGAGTTAATTTTTATTGAGTATAACTTTAGTTATTTACAAGAATTTAGAATCTTAGAATTTATGGCAATGAAAGCATACAAAATTCAGTAAAGATGTGTGTGTGTGTGTGTGTGTGTGTATACTCATATAACAAAAAACTGGTAAAGAAGAAAAATATAAAATATATATTTACCTGTTTTTTCTACTGTGGTGGCCTTTACCTGCTTGACACCTTTTTCTTCTGTGATGGGAAAAATTTTAAATGTGTCAGTACAAATAATGACATACTTCAACCTTGATATTTTGTATTCTCTTTGAAATAACACCTATACTGAGAAAAACATAGCTGTCTCCTTAACAAATCAGAAAGTGGTGTCTTTTATTTAAGTTGGATGAAAGCACAAAGAAAACTTGTCCACTTGCGGATGTCCTTTGCCTCTATCTCGCCACGAATTTTCCTATTTAAATCATCCCTCCACCTGCGCTCACTCTCCTTATTCCTTGTCTTTACTGTACTTCACTGTATTTGTCTACAAAATGTATTGTTTTTTTATATTTTATTGATTTTGTACAGAGAGGAAGGGAGAGAGATAGAGAGTTAGAAACATCGATGAGAGAGAGTCATCGATCAGCTGCCTCTTGCATACCCCCTACTGGGGATATGCCCACAACCAAGGTACATGCCCTTGACCGGAATCGAACCCGGGATCCTTCAGTCCCCAAGCCTACGCTCTATCCATTGAGCCAAACCGGTCTCGGCCAAAATGTATTGTTTTATAAATCATGTATCCCCTTTTCATTGAACTGGAATAGAAAGAAGCAATTTTTATCTTTGTCAGGCAAGAGGCCTCCCTGGGAATCGAGGTTTAGCTAGGAAACTCAAGGTTTTGTTTTTTGTTTTGTTTTTAATGGTGTAGAGCTGGGACCGGACAAAAGTGGTATATTTATAGGAATTCTTCTGTTCTCTCTGTTTTTATCAACATAGTTAAATATTTGGGTCAAAGTAGAGTGATTATTACAAGGATTTTATAAAAAATTAAACTTTTCAAGTATTTGACATGGGGGCCAATCAGCTGGTCAAATATCCACAGGGGGAAGCGCTATTGGGAAACAGAACTTAAAGGGTATCATTGTTGATACTGAAATAAAAGGGGTGAGCTAGAGGATAATGCACTTGTTCACTCAAAGCCTAAAATCTCCCATTCTCTCTGTAATAACACAAAATGACTGACCTCAGAAACAGCGAAGAAAATAACAGATTTTCATTATTGTTTAAAAATTGTTTCTAAGGTTTTGCTTACATTGTTATACAAAGCTATCCTCTCCTTCCCACACTCCAGTCCTGTTTTTTTTATTCCTATGGGTTCTGTTGTTGATGTCTCATATTTTCATAAACATAAGCAAATAAAAGCATTCTAATTCAAACTCATTGTAAATAATGCTTTAAAGTAAAATCTGAAAAATGTAAGCAAAAGGTTTCCTAGGATATGTTTGGAGAAAGTATGTTTTTGACTTTTAAAAGTTTCTGGACACACACTATTCATAACACTTGGTAAATATTTTAGCATGGAAAGAAGCAAAAAATTCTACAGAATAGCAGCTTAGGGCTGCCTCAAGATGAAATTATTTAATTAGCTTAAATTAAAACAAAGTTTCTATTCTTAAGCAAGAACTAATTAATAAACTTATCTTGGTAACTGCTATATTTATCTTTCTGAGCAGAACAGTTTGGATCTACTTTGTCCAAAATGTGAAACCAGAAATAAAAAGAAAGGAAGGAAGACAAAGGTGGAGTAAGGAAGGAAGGAGGAAAGGAATAAGGGAGAAATGTCAATTTCCTTTTCTTACTTTGGAGTCTGAGATGATCACATTTAAAAAAGCCAATCTGAACTGCAAACATTTCCTAAGGATGTCTTGCCCCAGACGGAAGTAGTAATATAATGTCTAAAGCCCATTCACTTGAGCGCTGGCTATGGTGTATTGGTGCTTAGCTAATTCTCTGATGATAAGGAAGATTAGCAGGGACCGTTAAGTCTTCATTACAAAACACATTGTGATGATGACTAAAATGGAATGTTCCAGAATCTGGATGGCCTGAAACCTGGATCCTATCTAATCACTTTAGAATGGACGCTCAGCTCTTCATTCTGCTAGAGTGAAAACAATTTGATACTGCAAACACCACCTGCAAAATACCTGCTTTACCATGAGAAACAGTCTTTTCTGGTTTCACGATGGCTTGTTCTAAAAATAATTAAAAGAAAATATTTTCAGGTGGTTAACTTTATAAACCAACATACAGTGAATTTTTTTCTGTGACTTAAACAACTGTACCCATGGAGAAAAACTCTTCCTACATTTTCATTCTAGTTTACATGAAAACCTTAAAGATTTTAGCTTTTAAAAAGCCATATACCAAGAATTACTATTTACACTTAAGCATCCGTAATACCCAAAGATCAGGCCGTAATAAAGCATCAATATTAAAACAGAGAGCTTAGGCAATGGTTGGAATAGAATACAATGGTAAAGTGAAGTAATGTGAAAATATATGTTATTAAACATGTTTTAAAAAAGTCTTATAAAAGATTCTATAAGAGTATTATAGATAAAATTCATATATATATACACTGTGTATTTAAGCTTTTTCAGATAAAGCTAAAAAACTCTTATTTATAAAAATAAATAATATTAAATGCAAAACTACATTAGTTAACAATAATAAATAAAAATTTTAAATGGTATTAGGCCTAACTAGAAGTTTTAAATGGCTTTAAGCTTCTGGTTTTAAAAAAGAGAGGGAGAGAGAATATGCAAAATATTTCTATCTGGTAATACATATTAATCTGCATAATAAATGTAGTAAGAAAAATAAATTAGAATACAATAGCTCGGCATCTATAAGCCTTGTTACATTAAATATATGTTGTTTATAAGAGCAACTAGATTCAAGCTTATAATGAGTTGCTAGGTAAGAGCTGGTAAGAATTAAATGGGTAATAATAGTATTGTGTATGAGAGAGAGGGAGAGAGAGAGAGAGAGACAGAGAGACAAAGAGACAGAAATACTTGGATTCTTGAATTTGTTGATATTAAAAAATCCTGCTGCGTATTTTTTTTTTATAATGAAGAAATCACTTCCATAGAGCCTGAGGGTTTTTGTAATGTGCCTCAGGTAAATGGCTAGTTGGTACCAGAGCTAGGACATAACACTAAATATCAATGTAAACTTGGAAAGGTCACCCTGATTTTATATCAATGTTATTGATACTTCTAATAAAATGATTGTCAGTCTGAGACAATCTCTTTCTGTGATTTTGAGTAAACCAAACATGGGCAGAATCCTAAATTCAACATTTATTAACTTGAAAATCTGGGAAGAATAACAATTTCTGAACTTGGTCTACTAATTAACTGTTTCCACAGATAACAAATATGAGCAGTGATTGTCATGTTTCATGTCTCTCACAGTTATACGATGAATATAAAAATTATATGCTATTCCTTGACTCGTAGGAAATATTTAATAATGATAATATATGTAATAATATTTATATAATAATAATTATTGTGCTATTTCCCTTTAAATCTCAGTAGTCTTCAACTTCGAAATCTTATGAGTCTGGTGTGTTATCAGAAAAAGCCCACAAATTAAACATTATCATACTTGGTTTTGAAGAACCCCCCCAAAAATATCTCCTAAAAACTGGAGTCTCTGCTGAAACACATTTAAAGCCATATTTTTTATATTTATTTTCAATGGGATATCCCCATTCTCAACTAATCTAGTACTATAAAACCATATTGATCAATGGAGCAGAAAAAAAATGAGGATCAGAGAGACTGTATAAATCTCCACTGGTGGGTGATAAGCCTCTTGTAGTTCTAAAATGAAGCGACTCTATCAATTATACAATAAAAAATGTTACCTGGTTTTGTCTCCTTTTTCACTTGTGGCTCTGAAGGAAAAACAAAATGCAGAAATTAAAAAAAAAATTGAAAAAACAAACTAGAGAACAAATTCATTTTTGGAAAATTATTTTGTTTACCATAATTGAAAAAGCAAAATCGTTCTAAAAATTATTCCAGTTTCATGATAGGTTCTCAATGCTAGACTATTAAACACCCAGAAGTTAGAATCATGTCATATACTAAGTTGTTGCTACTGCTAATTGATTTTAAGGTGAATTTTGTTTTCTCAAGATGATTGTTGTGAAGACTAGTTCCAGTGGCAGCATAAGATAAATGATTAGAGAGTTGGAAGAGTCTTTTTGAAATAGATATAATTGGGTACTTATGTGATTAAGAAGTCTACACAAATAATATTATGGCTTGAATTGTGTCCTGTCAAAAGATATGTTGAGGTTCTAACCCTAGTTCCCCAGAACAGGATCTTATCTGGAAATAGGATTGTTGCAGATGTGATTAGTTTAGGTAAAACAAAGTCATAGTGGAGAAGCATGGACCGTTAACCCAATCTGACTGATGTCCTTAAAAAGAAAAAAAGAAAAGAGAAACAGGGATAGAAACACACAGAAAGGAGATGTCTAAGTGCTGATGGAGGCAGAGATTGGAGTGATGCTTCTACAAGCCAGGGAACAGTGAGGGTTTCTGGCAAAGATTCTCCTCGGTAAGCCTTTAAAAAAGGTGATTCTGTTGACATTTTGATTTTGGACTTGTGGCCTCTAGAACTATGTGAGAATAAATTTTCATTGTTTTAACCTATGCAGTTTGTGGTACTTTATTCCAGCCTTCCAAAGAAACATGATTTTAGTACCGAGAAGTGGGGTCACAAGTCCCTATAAATACAGAAGTAGCTTTGAAGTTGGGTAATGGGTTGAGGCTTGACAATTTTTGAGGCACTTGATAGAAAAAGCCAGATATATTGAGGTCAACGTCTATTCTGCTGGGGACTCAGAAAGAGTTGGGGCGGGGGAGGGGGGGGGTGGGCGCGGAGCTATAAAGCAAGCCTCTGTTGCTTTGAGAAGACATATGTCATCATGAACAGAATATTATTAGAAATAAGAATGTGAAATTTACTTCTGCTGAGATCTCAGAAGGAAATGAGGAACGTGTTAGTGAATACTGGAGGGAGGGTGATGTTGGTGGCAAAAAACTTGCCTGAATTGTGTTCTTCTGTTGGCTGGAAGGTAGAATTTGTAAATGAAGAACATGGATATTTAGTTGAGGAAGGTTCCAAGCAAAGTGTGAAACAGTAAGCCTGATTTCTCCTTGCTGCTTAGAATAAAATGTGAAAGGGAAGATAGGTTGAGGAAGGAACTGTTAAGCAAAAAGAACTAGCATTTGAAGATCTGGACAATTTTCAACCTATCTAAATAGCGTACATGGGGGACAGGGCCATGGGTGTGGATGGACAACATTTTGCTAAAATGGGTAAAGAATAAATGTGTGACTCATGGATCCAACCCGCCATCTCAGCAGAAGGCAGCGATAGCAAAGTGGTGATCCAGGAAAGATCTGTGGAGGGCCTTCCTGTCCAATGGAATGGACCCTCCCTTCCATCCCCCATTAACTAAAAGCAAGACTGGTCATGTTTGTGAGAATATTACATGCAGAGGCAACACAGCATGAATATAAAGGGACAGAAATAGGGTGAAAGAAAGGGATAACAACTTGAAGGGCAGAATAATGGATTCAAGCCTGGGCAGATGGAACACCCCCATGCAGCAAGGGCAGCCTGCCACGTAGGTGGCACAAGAGGGCAGAGCCCCTCCTCACCCAGCCCAGGGGAGAGAGTAATGAGCCAAAGAGGATTTTCTTAGGCTTTGAAATCCAATGGAATTTTTCCTGCTATGTTTTGAATTTACTTGGAACCCATGACTCCCTTTTTTTTTTCTTTCCAATTTCTCCCTTTAGAAATGGAAATGTCTATCCTATTCCTGTCCTACTGTTTTATTTTGGAGGCAGTAATTTGTTTTCTGGCTTTAAAGGTTCACATACAGAGAGGAATTGTCTGCAGGAAGAATCATACCCCAAGTTTCAGGCATAACTGGTTTACATAATGAGACTTGGGACTTTGAATTGATGAAATTTTGGACTTAGAGTTGATGCTAAAATGGATGAGACTTAAGAATTGTGGAATGGGATGCATGTATTTTGCATGTGAAGGGCATACGTTTGGGGAGGGCAGTGAGCAAACTTCTATGCATTGAATTGTGTCTCTCAAAAAATATGCTGGAATCCTAATACCCACTACTTCAGAATGTGACCTTATTTGGAAGTAGGGTCATTGTAAATATAATGAATTAAGAGTTTCTCATATGGGAGTGGGGTGTGACTGGTGTCATCAGAAGAGAAGAAAAGGGACAAAGATAGAAACACAAAGAGATGATGTCCAAGTGGTGACAGAAGCTGAGATGGGAGTGATGCTTCTTCTACAAGCCAAGGAACACCAAGGATTGTTGGCAACCACCAGAAGCCAGAAGATGCAAGGTCTGATTCTTCCTACAGGTTTCAATTAAAACATGGTCCTGTTGACACCTTGATTTCAGACTTCTAGCTTCTAAACTATGAGAAAATAAGCTTCTATTGTTCTGAGCCACCTAGTCTGTATATTTTATTATAGCAGCCATATAACCCTAATCCAGTTATAAACTTGAACCAAAATTTTAACTGTTATGAGGATCGGAATTCCCTTTGTTCATTTAAAATGGTTTCTGCTGCCCGCTACAGCCCTCAGAAATGTTTATCTCACTCAGGAGCCCCCAGGAGGAGGAGAGTGAGAGCAGCTGTGTTTCTGATGAAATATTTATGATGCCTATGTCAGCACATAAAATCAGCAAAAATAGTGGTTGTGTAGGATTGAACCCAATTAGTCAACTGTGGTTGTTTTTTTTTTCTTTTTTGTTTTTTTTTTTGTTTATTCCTGAACCATATACATTTCTCAGGAGTTTTCTTTTTCTCTCTAGAAACAAGTATTATGTTTGTTTCATTTTAAAATGTTTGTCAAAGATAAAACGTTGGTATAATATTTACCATAGGACACAACATTTGCAAAAACATGCTATGCTATTCATTATAAACATAGAATGCAAGTATGGATTTCTACATAAAATATACATACCTGGCTTCCCTTCTTTTTTTACTTGTGGCTCTTAAAATATAAATGTACAGTAATAATGATGATTATATAAAATATTTTCTGTGCTCATGCATACAGGGGTGGGCAAAAGTAGGTTTATAGTTGTTCATATGGGAAATAATACAATAATAAATTAAAGCTGAAACCGGTTTGGCTCAGTGGATAGAGCATTGGCCTGCGGACTGAAAGGTCCCAGGTTCGATTCCGGTCAAGGGTATATACCTTGGTTGTGGTTACATCCCCCGAAGGGGGTGTACAAGAGTCAGCTGATCGATGATTCTCTCTCATCGATGTTTCTACCTCTCTATCCCTCTCTCTTCCTCTCTGTAAAAAATCAATAAAATATATTTTAAAAAAGAATAATAATAAATTAAAAATAATGAATAAATTGTTGTGTTCTCACAACTGTAAGCCTACTTTTGTCCACCCTATTTCATTTACATATTATTCAGTTTTTTAGTAGGCCATATTAATTTCATTTTTTCTTATAATAATAGCAAATTAACACAAACACAAATAAAGGTTTTTCATTATCAATCACAAGAGGTTTTTTTTTTTGAGAAAAAAATAAAATGTAAACTAAAACTTTTAATGAGGTCAATTAGGGTACTGGTTTTACCTCCAGTGAATAAGTGATGAAGGAGAATTTTAGAATAGCATATTCTCAGAAGAACACTCAGGATAATAGGCACATTTTCTTCACAAAATAATTACGTTTTGGATTTAAGCAAAATAGTCAACAATGGAATCAGAAGATGACTAAAAGCATGCGTTTAAGATTTAGTTAGTCAGTTACTATTTAGTCATGCACGTAACATACGTGGAGGCCTAGGCTTGACTTCTTTGCCTGGACAAAGTTAAAACAAACATTAAAGACCGAGTCACTCAATTCTTACTGAATAGTCACTGAATATGATGGAACACTATACATTTGAAAATTAAACAAAAAATCAAAATTTTGTTGTTATTCAAGACCCCAGCTATTCTTCTTTATTGAAAATTTATAGGCTATGTAATTTAATGTTCATGCCAAGTTACTATTTTAAAAAATCATTTAAAAAATAAAACTCTTAGCTTAATTTCATTTCACAATTAAAAAATAATTTGTTACATGTGCAATGTAAAATTTTAATTTTATATTAAGGTAAGACAATTTTTGAGACGTTATTTTTAACCCTTAATTATTCAAGATAAAAAATACCTAAGACAATTTTTTAAAAATTCTATTAATATTATCTATGTTATCTGTCCCAGTATAATACGTTGAAAAATAATTGCTACTGAATTTGGGATTCTTATGACTAGAAATATCATTTGCTTTTATGGCATGAGGAGCCCTAGTGCAGGGATTGGCAAATTTATTGTGAAAAGTCCGACAGTATATATTTTTGTATTTGGGGCCTTACGATCTCAGTTGCAACTATTCATCTCTGCTGTTGTAGCATGGAAGCAGTCATAAGCAATATGTTACTGAATAGATATGGCTGTGTTACAATAAAACTTTATTTACAGAAACTGGTGGCCAGTGCATAGGCCATTGTTTGCCAACCATTGCACTATCCATAATCAGTTTTAATTTTTTTAAATGTCAACAAAGTTGTGACAATAAAACATACACACACACACACACACACACACACACACACAATCTTCCTTTGATTTTGTATTGTTTTATATTTGCCATCCCGTCACTGCTCAACTCAGTATCTTAAAATTGCTTTTTGTTCATCTCTTTACTCCCATTTAATTATTAATCTACTATATTCTAGCTTCTATTCCCACCATCTATCAGTTCTCTCTCATCACCAGTTCTCCCCAACTTACAAACACCATATGTAAGCAGAGGGATTAAGGTATACCATTGGCAGTTATAAAAACAGCCTTGGGAAAGAATAATCAATATTGTAATAATCATGTAAGTGCCAAGTGGGTACTAGACTTATTGGGGTGATCACTTTATAAGACACAATCACACACACACACACACACACACACACACACACACACATATATGTGATGAAAGAAAAGAAATGGAGGAAGTTAGATTAAATTATTTCTAAAATCTCATCCAGGTCTAAAATTATGTATTTATGTTAAATATTAATTTAATACTAAGTAGTAAATAATTTATTAGGGAAACAACATTTAAATAGGAATCAATCTGAAATGTTGCAGGATTCTTTTTGGCTTTATTGCTCTTTAGTAATTTGCTTTACCAAACTCTAGATAAATATTCTGCTGTGGGGGCATGTTTAAGTCCAAAGACAGATTAATAAACCTTGTTTTTATGGCCTTATGTTCCAAATATAATATATCTATTTAGTACAGAGCAGATGTTGGCTGTGCTGTAACTATACACCTTAGCCAGAAAAAACCTAACAGGCACTTTACCTTTTAAATTGACTTGAAGATTAATGTCTAAACTTTGTATTATGTAGTACTAAGCAACCATTTGGAGGAGGCAAAAAATATGATAAGGACTTTTATAGGATGCTTGAATCAGTTCCAAATTCTTATTGCATTTTTCTAGATGCCATCATTATTCAGCTACATATTTTATGAGTTTTTCTAATATTTTAATTAAAATGGAAGAAATAGAAATATATAGAATGTGTTATAATACTTCAAAAGAAATGCTTTTTGATCTGTATATGAATTTATGTAAACAAATGTTTCTTTTTCTTCTTTTTTTCTACAGAGGTATTCTCATTTAGGGACAGTCTCATTTATCAAATGAACAGTGTAAAGTCACTTGTCTAAAAACAATAATGTGGTGTTATCTAATATTCAGAAATATAATTTTAGAGATTTAATAAAAATTATGTGAAGTTTAGCATTATCTATGTAGTGCTGAAAATAAGGGGAAAGAAATTAAATTAATGCTTGCAAATTACCCCTTACTATTCTGAAAGCCATTTAGTAAGCAAAATGTACCTCTGACAATTAGAATTAAATTTCTGGAAAACTTTTTATTTTGTGTTAAGATAGAAATGCTGTCTAGTAGATAAGAAGTAAAAGCATTGTTCATGTTTTTCTTTAATTTTAAAAGCAATCATACTCGGCAGAATGATCAGATCATTTTGGGGACGCTCTTTAAGGTCTATTTGTATTGAGGTCTGAGGCTAATGTGGCCTCCTACAAACATAAACCCAGTGAAACTTCTATACAGGAAAGGATTCTTTTTCATCCTCATCGGCTTTGTATTGTGGTAAGTTTTCTAGTCACCAAATATTTTGTTAAATTTATTGAAGCTGAACGCTAATAAATTACATTGGAATTGTTTTAGTTGTTATTCAAGCATCCTTTGACCATTCTGTTCTAACAATTTCTCTGATGCAATTATTTTACCTTTTGTCTCAAATGGCAAGTAAACCATTTGGAAGAGGCAAAAAATATGAGAAGGACTTTTATAGGGTGCTCGAATTGGTGAGGGATCTTTTGGGTCCTACCCTTTGATGTTCAAATGGATTACAAATGATGTACATGAAACTGTTATAACAGTAAATGTTTGTTTTTACCATAGTCAGCTAAGAGATACTGAAAGATTTCGTGTAGATACTAGAGGCCAGAAGCATGAAATTCATGCAAGAGGGCAGGACGTCCATAAGGTTGTTCGGCTGTCTGGACTAATTAGCATATTATGCTTTTATTATTATTGAAATAGATTTAAGAGAGGAAGGGAAAGGGAGAGAGAGATAGAAACATCATGATGAGAGGGAATCATTGACCAGCTGCCTCCTGCACACCCCACACTGGGGATCGAGCCCGTAACCCGGGCATGTGCCCTGACCAGGTATCAAACTGTGACCCCCTGGCTCATAGATTGATGCTCAACCACTGAGCCACACCAGCTGGGCAAGACTGAAAGATTTTAATAGTGAACCAACAGAAAAATAGAGGAGGTTAATCTGACCCATTGCTTTAAAGCCCCTTTTTATATAGAACTTGATATAGCATTGTGATTATTAAACTATTCAATTATTTATTCAACAAGCATTTACTAAGCACTTAGTTATGCTAAGCACTTCAGTCCCTCAAGAGTAGTTAGCCTATAAGGTTGACCTACTAATTGAAACAATTGCTATGGACGAATTTAATTCTGGTAACAGTCATAATAATTAGATTTGGTTGAAAGGCTGTGCTTCTCCTTCATAAAGCATAGGACAGGACATGAGTTCCAGATATCACATATATCCTTTGAAAAGTTGGGGAAGAATGGAATATGAAGAGATATATAGGTTTATCTCACTATTTTTAAAAAATATATATATTTTATTGATTTTTTACAGAGAGGAAGAGAGAGGGACAGAGAGTTAGAAACATCAATGAGAGAGAAACTTTAATCAGTTGCCTCTTGCACACCCTCTACTGGGGATGTGCCCACAAACAAGGTATATGCCCTTGATCAGAATTAAATCTGGGACTCTTCAGTCCACAGGTCAATGCTCTATCCACTGAGCCAAACCAATTTTGGCTTATCTCACTATTTACTTATATATTTAATTTTCTATAGGAAAATAAATATACCATAGGAAATTTAAACTTCATAAATTCCAAATTTAACCCATGACCTACTACTATTCTTTTCTCCAAAAACATTCCCTGTGCTAAATGTTATCTCAGTCCACCTACGGTTCCAACAAAGAGGCTGGTCGTCAGCCCACAGTATTCTCCATGCTCTGCCATCTACCAGAGTCCTGCTGATTACATGTCCTTAATGAATCTGGAGTACCTGCACTTTTCCACTTGTACTTCATTTCCTCCTCAGTTTCTAGCTCCATTATTTAGTAAACATTAGTCTGTGATACACATGGTTATTAACCTGTGTCTTATTTGTATACATGGTTGTCTATGGGGATACTTATGAAGTCTTTATCACCATTGCTACTTGCTAGCAATTAATCAATTTTCCATGTCAGCATAATTTTAATACTTTCTTTAAACCTGAAAAAGAATGAACATCTTCTCCCCTAAGAATTTATGGTAGAATTTTCTAGGGATTTTTTTTGTTTGTTTCTATGGGGGGGAAATGAAATGAAATTTTGAGAAAGCAACGCCTAGCATAACTTCATTGTTCTAATTGCAACACAATTGAACATTATTTCCTGTCATTCTCATTTAGACTTTTTAAAAAGATGTCACTAGTTTTTTTTTAAACTCTATTATCTTGGCTCACTGCTTCCCAAGATCTTTTAAGTAAATGTAAGACAATTTCTCTGGGTGTTCAACTGAACACTGCTATTATATTACAAAAGAAATAATATATCATAGTTGAATAACTTTAAGACATATGGAGTAAAAAAATGTTTAGCTGTTTTTTTTTTACTCTCAAACTTCCCAAATGTGTCACATATGTGATGAATTCCAAGAGCTTTTCCCAAACTTATGTAACCTTAGAATCTTTCATGTTGCAATTATATAACTAGTCTTCTGTGCAAAACAATTTGCAAATTACAAGCGTAAGAAATAGCTTACTTATACATAGAACCTTCCTCCCTTTTACTGTAAGAAATAAAAACTATATATTCATAGTTGAACTATATAAGATTATGTAGTTCTTAAAGGAAGGGCTTAGTTCAAGATTAAATAGTATCATATGAACCACTGGAGAAATATTACTCAAGTCAACTGGAATAACAAACAAGAAGATCTTTTTTAAGAAAGGAAATGTTTTGCTCACTGTGACAATTAAACAGACTGAAATAATTTTAGGTGCTAAAAACATAAATCCCTTATCTATCATGTCTTTAAAATGGAATTAGTGTATGCCTATGTTTTTAGCACTTTCCCATGTATGTTGCCTGTTAGAGATACTGTAACTCTGTAAACTGGTAAAAACAATTGCTGTTATGTCTCCATTTGACAGACTAGAAATCATTCAACCTACAGTTTCATGAGGAGGCCGAGAACTGGGGAATGACACTTCTCCCTCTCTCTTTACTCTGCCAAGCTTTTTTCCTAACTAAATGCGTTTTCTTTTCTTTTTCAGAAAAGATTTAAAATAGTCTCCAGTGTATGTGAAGTATATAAGGTTTATTTTCTGGCCCCAATTCCTGAGCTCCAATCAAATACCTCCAACTATAGCAACCATAAAACGAAATGGATCTTCCAGCCACTAAGCTTCATTAAACTGCTCATAAGATCATCAATGACTCCGCATTATACATTCCGATGAATACTTTTCAGTCTTAATCTTTCTGTAAATTTGTGCTAAATTTGACACTTCAACCAGCTTCTTCTTCCTTGGTAAGCTTGGGAGTTATTTTACAAGAGAGAAAATAAAAGGAGAGAACAAATTTGGGAGACACATACTTGGCACCTACTTGGTTCCTGGGTTGTGAAAGAGAAGGAAAAGCTGTGAATGACTCAGAAGTTTAAGTCAATATAACTGAATGTTGAGTCATGAATTCTATTTTTTGAGATAAGGAGCAAAAGGAAAAACAAACCAACAAACAAAAACAGTGGAAGAGATGTTGAGTTCAATTTTAAACAAAGTGAGGTGTTGGCATTTAACCTTGTGAAGATGTTGACTAGGCAGTTAGAAAGGCAAGTATAGAACTCTGAAAAGTTAATAATTATTAATTTTTTATAAATAAAAAACAAATTATTGCTTATTACTTACTGTGCCTATTTTTGTTTTAAATTATAGTACTGCTTATAATTAAAGTCATTTGCTTCCCAAAAAGAACACTTAGCTATTCTCCAATTACATAATGAAATGCATATCCTACTTATCATTTTCTTTGGGGGTTGGGGGTGTAAACACACACACACACACACACACACACACACACACACACAGGAATTTAGTGGCTAATATTCTGTCAAAAATGAATAATTATCGTAATGTTGCTCCAGTATTTAAAAACATAGTCACCTTTAGTTGTTTTATTTTTAACAGTGTGGATTTACATGCAGAAAAGAATTTAGAAGAAAAGACCACTCAGCAGGAATCTCCTATGATACACTCCTCTTTAATTTAACCCACCCTCTCATTATGCCTTCAAAGCTCCGGGGAAATTTTTCTTCATCATAATTAAGCTAATTCCCTCCATCTATAATGTGTATCCCAACACTCTCTCCTAATTAATATCTCCCTCTGGATTCCTTGCTCCTCCTCTCCCTGGACATCGCCCTGTCACAGCCATGGAAGCAGCAAACATCTCTCATTGGTTTTACTTGCTGGGATAGGATATGTTGCCTTCCTTTAACAAGAAACTCCTGAACAAGTTAGTTTCTGCTGATGATGAGTAAACGCTCTTGTTAATTTCTACAAACTGGTTTCTACTTCCACCACTCTACTGGAAATGCTCCCAAACGGTCACCAAAAAACACATTTTTGTCAAATATAATGGCTTTATCTCGGTCACCATGTCTCTTGCCCTTTCTGCACCATTGTTACTGCTGGCTTTTCCACTTTTTCTCCCAAGTGTTCAGCATTGGGATGCTGATACCCTGCACTTCCTGATCTTCCAGGCGACACCCTTCCCTTCACCGCTTCTTTATCTTTCCCAAGAAGCTGACTTGAACCAAATGGCAGGTATCAACTCTATTTCTTGTAACAACCCTACTTGATGAATATGATGATCTTCATACAATAAATGAGAAACCTGAAGTTCAGAAATGTTAAGTAATGTACGGAAAGCCCCATTCCTTTCAAAGGGAGGCAAATGAATGTCTTTCTAGTCTACAGCATCACTCTTCATAATGATCTCCCTGATTGAGTTGCTCTTACATACTCCTTAAATCCTTCTTCTCCTTGCAGTTTTCACTGATTGCCACAAACATAAGAATGGCTCCTTTCTAGAATTCTAATATAATGAATTACCTTGCAGACATCTTTTAGTAGTTCATGTCTATGTCCTTGATTATACTCTCTTGAATGGAAACCATCTCTTATAACTTCTTTGCAAATTTTATAATACTAAGCACAATTCTAGACATATAGCAGTGATATTAGCATAATATATGTTTTCAATAAATTGTTGATTGATTATATCTTGTAATAAAATGTTTTATTAATGCTGACTTTTCTCTAGGAAGCTAAAGATCATTATAATCTCAAAATATACATAAATATTTAATGTAAATTAATAGTAAAAAATTTATAGCACGTGTCACTTTTTTCATTGTATACCAGAGGTAAAATAAAGCATTCACAAGGATATGCTTACTGTAAGGAGCAACATAACTCATCTCTTATCTGACCAGCAAACCTTTACTGAGCCCAGTAAGTGTGCCAAGAATGGAACAAGCTTTTCTATGTAGTTTTCCCATTTCTGCAGATGTATCTAAAGCTCAATTGTAACTTTGATGTAAAGCCTCAATATGTCATTTTATCTCTATCATGCATTATTTTTACAGTTTAAAATTGCTGATTTTTCCATTTATTTTTCATAAAATGTATGCTTTCAAATGATGTAAAGTCACTTAAAATGATTGTTTATTCACTCAAAATAAGGAAATACAATTCCCTTTGCTATGTTGGCAGTACATTGAAGAGAAGTGATAGTAATAATCCAGGTAAATATTTAATAATATATACATGGAAAGATGAAATAAGAGTCACTTAAATATAGGTTAAAATTTGTGGAAATGAGTATATGCAAATATTTTAAGACCGATATTAACAATGTCTACATGTATGTAATATCACTTTACTATATAGAAAGATAGAGACATAGCTTTCCCTTACATGTATAGATATAGACATAAGTATCTTTATAAAGATATAAAACATTTGGAATAGTGTTAACCCTAGAAAGATTTCAATTAATTGAACATTTTCATAATATTTTTAGTCTCCTTTTTCTGCATTTTCCTATATTATGATGTTTTTTCTTCTGACTTTAACACCTGTCTTAAGAGTACCCAGCTAATCTCTTGACTTCCTCACAGAGCCTGTTTTAGAAAATCTTTAAAAAAAAAAAAGTATTCCAATTTTCAAAGGAATGATCAATAGGCAAAGAATTACCTTTTCAAAAACCTGCATACTTAATTGATGGAAAATAAATGGCTGAATCTTTTAGGTTAAACAATTTGAAACTACTATTTTTGTGGTAAAAATAATTGAATATAAAGGATTTTTATAAGGTTTGATCAATCCTAAGTTTTAGGCATTTGCCATGATCTGGCTAGAGCCTCTGAATTTATATTATCCCCAGTAGATAAATAAGGAACACCATATGCTAACAGTTCCAGCACATTGATAAACTTATCCAAAATCCACCAGCAGAAAACATAGCATATATTTTAATTTAACCTACATAGCAGCTTATTGCTGATTACATTTAAAATGTACGCGAGGGTACACCAGTATTTTTTCAATGTTTTAGGTTTCTCAGAGCTTTCTCTAATTATAAAACCAGCCTTATTCCTAATCTTGTAAAGCTTACATAGTGTCCTTACCTGCTTTTGATGGTTTTTCATCTTTTTTAGTTTCAGGATCTGGGATAAAATATAACACACACACACACACATACAAATAAACAAATAAGGGGAAAAAAAAGGCATTCTATAAAAATAGTACTAAGCAGTTTAATAAGTAGATTTTATAGATTTTTTTCATCTGTTCTCAATTTCAATTACATTTACATAGTTCCATCAATATAGAATTAATGTGTATTTTTACTAAATTATAAAGTAACTTAAACAAAAGGACTTTGATTTTAAAGCCATTTCCCAAAAGTTTCATACTAATCAAGTAATTTGATATCTTGTCTTTAATGAGCCTGTTCCTTATTCTTCATAAGCTATCTATGTATTTCAATTAAGAAAATTAATAAAAACTACGCAGGAAAAAAATATAACTTTTCTTAATTTAATCAATTTTCTATTTTCAAATTCATGGAGCTCCACCTGGTGGTTTATTTTATTATTTCAAACTGGTATAATTACTATTGTTTCTATTAATATTTGTTATTATTAATTTTATAAAATAAATTGGCTTACATTGAGTATAATGATATAAAATTAATAAAATGAAGTACTTTTTAAGTACTAAGTGATTTTTAAAATCTAGAAATTCTGTTCTAAGAATAATTTTTTATCTAGAAATTCTGCATTTTAATTTAATATCAATATAGATAAGTGCATAATTTTATAATCTATACAGATAATGCTCATGACACCATGCCAACCAATGTGATAGATGACTATATTTCTATGTTTTCTAATCCTTCCTCTTATTTCATAGCTTGCCTGGGCCTTATAATTCTATTTTGACCAAAAAAAAAAAAATGTTTTGATTAATGGAAGGGTTCTGGTACATTATAAAATTTCTTCCCATCAAATAGCAGAAAAACTGATTTCATAGTTGGGATATTTACTGAGTATAGACTGTGATTCAGGGATTTGGGTTTTAGCCTAGTAGAGTCTCATTTTCTGGAGTTACAAAAATAAAACACTGTAATTAGTTTAACTTCAGAATTTCATGTAATAGAGAATTACATAGCCATTCACACCTACTCCTTTCAATGTGCACCCTGCAGAAAGTGGCATTAGTGCCATTATTGCACTTCAATACTCTCTGGCATATGTACCTCTTGTGTTTTTATTGTATTACTTTCTTTATTTTTTAAAAATATATTTTATTGGTTTCAGAGAGGAAGAGAGAGATGGAAACATCACCGATGAGAGAGAATCATTGATTGGCTGCCTCCTGCATGCCCCATCTTGGGGATAGAGCCCACAACCCAGGAATGTGCCCTGACCTTTTGCACGCAGCACTGACTTTTCTGAGCTGTTGACTTTATCTGAAAAGTATATTGCTGATGAGCCTCAGGAGGGTGCTTCATTAACGATAGTTCAATGTCATCAACACTCTGTTATCAAGTACAACAGGCTGACCCAAATTTCAGCACGCTTGTGCTTGAGTAAGAGTGGACTATTTAATATTCCTTCCCTTCTAAAACCATGTTCATGTGTTTTTGAATCATTATGCATTCCTATGCTTCCCTTCTTCCTACTTGGGTTTCTAAATCAGTATCATCTTTATGTATAAACTGAGGGATCCTTCCATGCATACTAAAGGAGCAGGGTGATGGTATTTTTATGTGATTAAGTAACCTTATCCAAATTAAGGAGGTGTGTTGTTTGTTTTTGCACTGCAGTTGGAGAAAAACAGACACAAACCATCCCAACAAAATATCCCTCAGTCCAAAATGTATTTCCTTTATTCATTAGCTAAATGTTCTAATGTGAGGGATTTGAAAGTCTAAATTTTAATTTTCCACCTTATGACATGGGAACAATGATGACTATCTAGTGTATCTGTGGCTAATATTAGATTAAATAATTTCATAAGTAATTTATGAACATTCATGTACTGATTTATATGTATAAAAGCCTAAGTGACTTTTACAACCAGTTGCTATCTGATGCACTGCCCACCAGGCAGCAGACACTCAATGCAGGAGTTGACCTCTGGGGGTCAGTATGCTCCCACAGCTAGCCAACCTTCCATGGTTCCTCCCCCACTGCTGATGGACCTGATTGGCCCCAATTGCTGGTCAGGCTGAGGGAGCCCATCCATGCACAAATTTGTGCACTGGGCCACTAGTATATAAATAATAGATATCCACTTATTGGATAAAAAATCCGGTATGCTTGGTCTAAAGCAATGTGGGGGGCCACTTAGCTTTTCCTCTTCCCTAGCTCTTTTTCCAAGTCCTGAGAGATTAGGGAAAATAGGATTTTTGTCTTGTTTATCTTTGGAGTCTTAGTAACTAAAATACCCACAGAATATTCTACCAATACTTAAACTTGTTATTGATGCAAAACAATTTAAATTGTGGTTTCAAATGCCAGGAAAATCAAATTCAAAAGCTTCACATTTAGGTGGTTTAGACCAAAATGTCAGGTGAAATTCCTGTTCCATTAAGAGTAAAACCTTACACAAGTGGAAAAGTGCATTAGAACTTACCCACCAGACATTCAACATTGCTGTACATTATTTTCAGGTTTTTATAGTTATTGTTGGGACTATCAATATAAGTTCAGATACAAATATTCAGAGTAGCTAGGTGAATTAACTGGTTTGTAGCTGGTTATTATAAAGCAGAAGCTAGAGCTCAGTGCTTTTTCCATAACACATATGCATGTGAGCAAACACTCCCCACACGTGTGTTCTGGTTCTGTCTCTGTCTCTCATCTCTGATTCTCATTAGATCAACAAGGAAAAATAATTATGCTGTATAAGCTTCTATTGCTGTGGTTCTAAAATGCCTTTGGACTGTAATGCAAGAGCTTCGTTTGTGACTCAGTCTTTATGACCAAGTCCTGATTCTGCAGTCCTTCCTTGGCAAGATTCCCGTAGGAGTGTGAGACTCCCAAGGAAAGTCTGCTGAGTGGACAATAAAAACACCAAATGAGCCAGAGGGCATGCTCTCTTTGAGCACAGAATAAATGCATACATACACTTTCCCTGCCCTGTTCTGCCATCGTTTCATTTCCGTGATCCTTTGTTTTTTTGCATATGCTAAATACAAGGTACCATGGTTCTGAGAATGTCACTCGCCTTTATCTACTCTTTCTTTTATGAATCGCTACCTGTGCCTCATTATTCTCTTCTTCCCTGGAGCATCCAACATGAAGAGCACCCATGGAAATAAGTAAGAAATAATTGGAGGAGGTTGAACATATTGTAGGTTGCACAAAGAATCGTCAGTCAGCACAAGCTCCTGTGATGTTGTTTGAAGAAGGTAGATAGCTGGTTGGGCATATTTCAGATAATGAGCCAGTTGACTTTAACCCATTCAATGGGTTCAGGAAGCTGTGCAAAAATCATTTGCCAAGGTTAGTAAGCACACTTTCTTTGTATTTGTCCTTAATGAGGGAGAGGCACTCTTTAACACGGAGTAGATTCTTACTCCTTGCCCTGCACATCAACACTCATTTTTTTTTTTAACTTGAAGTGAAAATAATCTATTAAATTAATAAAGGGTCATAGGTTTAAGTAAGGATAACCCTATATCTGGTTCAAAAATATAAAAATAATAGGAGAATTTACATGACAAGTAATACATTTACATTTTTTAAGTGAATAGAAACAATAGAAATGCTTTTTACAACATTAAAAAAAAAAATCCCTGTAAGAAGAGAAGCATATGAGAACAGTTCCACAAGGTAGCTTGGGGTGATAAGGAAAGTGGACATCCAGGTGCCAATAGCTCATTTTCCCACTCAACTCTCTCTTTTTTAAATGAGAGCTTATCTGGAAAGGATACCAAGGAAGGGAAATTGGGTCTTTGTACTTATCACTGTCCATATATTTCAAATACATATAGTTGTGCATATATTATCATTTTCCTTTTTTTTGGAGAACAGAAATAAAAATCCTTAGTGCATGGGTACATTAATTTTGTAAAGCGAATAACTGTAGAGAAAATTCTGGCAGGCTGAACTACTCTTCTTACCAACACAGAAACCCTTTTTATACTGTCAACTTTGCATTTTGGCATGAAGGACACACAAAAAAGTTTTAGGCTGTAAGTTGCTGCTTAGAAGGAAAGGGCTGCTGTTACTGATACAATTTTCACTTTAACAATTCTTTTAGGAAATAGGTAACCATGGATTTGTAAAGGCACGTACGAACATTGTATGCTTTTGAATGCTAATCTTTTTCATTGGCAAATTATCTGTAACTTTCCTTCATTCCTATCAAATATAATAAAATTATTATGAAAAAATCATTTGATGTTAGGGTAAGTTTTGCTAATATATTATAGTACTAAAGAAAAAAGGAAAATAAGATTATTTTTGGTACTTTTAAATCTGATACTAAGTATGTAATCAAGCACAGATACTTGGATAATCATTTCATCTTTGGGCATCAATTTCTCCATTGTTAACATGACAGTCATAATATTTCCTCCTTAAAATACCTCAAAGCAGAATTAGATCATGTCAAATAACTAGAAACTGGGCATATACATAAAAAAAACTCCAGAAAAGTTATACAAAACTTAAAAAAAACGATGTTGATTCTTAAATCAAGTATTCTAGATAAAGTATTAGAATTTAAAAACAATGTGGCAAATCTGACTATTTCTTAGAGGATGAGAATGTCATCATCAAAGATGATAAATGTGTTTTTCAATGTTTTTAGGAAAATGTAAAATATTCAGAATGGTAAATAAATACATATAAATTAACTGCATTTGCTTATAGGAATTCTCAGTTACGAAAGACAAACTAAATCTCTGTAATATTAGTTTAGAAAATCAAAACACTATGTAACATTAAAACTGAAATGCTTTAGAAACCAAAACCTTGATTGCTCTCATGTCAATCATTGGACACCAGAATATTTGTGATCACTCTGTATAGCAGCATAGGAACATTGGTTAAGTTCAGACATTAATTTTTCTCATACGATTTAGAATTTGGGGTGATATTTTACCTGTGGGTTGTATTATCCTGGTTGTTGCTTTTTCTTTTTGTTCTCTCTTTCCACTGAATTATGATTGTGCTGTTCCTTTACCTCACCCCATCCTCCCTCTTGACCTCTGGACCAGTTTTTACTTTGGTCACTCAAGTTGTCTCCTCAGTGTAAGTGGGGATATTCCTGAACAGTCACCCACCCAGCAGGGACTTTTCTCAGGGCCCAGATGAGCAGTTGAGCCTGTTTCCTCCAATTCTCCTTGTGTATGCAGTTTCCCAGGTCACTGTAGCCCTGAGAATTGCTGGCAGTAACTTGTTTAGTATCTTTTCTTGAATGGGAGCTCCACTTCAGTGCGTGATTAATTGCATTGAGACTTGCTTAAAATCTCTGCTTATTGGAATGTGCATTATTGTCTTAACTAAACTCCTTACAAGCTCTGCTGCTTAAACACGTACAGCCCAGCATCCATGCAGCTTCATTCTGGCTAATTGCTTTGTGTTTCTTTTCTGTTTTTAATATATACACACATATACTGTATATGTTCCCTTTGTTTGCACTACCTATGTCATTTTAACATATCCATCTATATTTTATCTTTCATTCTAAGGATTCAGAGAAAAGATGAGGCATCAAAGCATGAATACATAGTTCTATTTTCCCTGCAGAATGAGACATTGAAAAGCCATTTCTTTCCCTACCACATAATTACTGAATGAGGTTTTTTTGGTTATGGGACCTGACTAAAATTTCTTATTTTAACTCAATATGAGACGTTAGTGTATAACCAGATTTAAAAACATAAATTTGAATATTTGTCTACTTTTATTCAATGCACTATAGATATTTGAACCCACAATTTCATACAAAAATGTAAAAATTTAAGGTTTATTTTTATTTTTATTTAAAAGACTGTTTAATTAACCAGATCATTTTTTAATGTGGTGAAAAAATACATGAGATCCACTCTCATAAAAATGTTTAGATGTACATTATTTGTATCTTTAAGCACAATAATGTACAACAAATTCTAGAACTTTATATTGAATAATAGAAACTTTCTATCAATTGAACAGCTCTCCATTTACCCCTCTCATAGCACTTGGCAAGTATCACTACTTTCTTTTTTAATTTAATTTTATTTATCTTTGCCCAACTGGTGTAGCTCAGTGGTTGAACATCGACCTATGAACCAGGAAGCCACAGTTGGATTCCCAATCAGGACATATGCCTGGGTGCATTTCTGCTGGGGAATTTTTTAAACTAAACTTCCTAATGAAAAATGTGGATGTTTATCATATTCATATCTGTTCCATATATATATATATATATATATATATATATATATATATATATATAAGGCCAAGACAAGCCTTTTAAGTGAGTTCTCTTATTTACATATATATATATATATATATATATATATATATATATATATATATTTTTTTTTTTAGCATATTAGGTTTTTATTGTATAGGATATGCATAGCCCATGGACACAGGCAATGGGGGGATGAAGACATGGGGGTAAGATCTGGGAGAATGGGCTGTTCCTTATATTTTATACTTCTGTCTTAGAATGGCAAAGGGATAATAACTTCATAGTCTGATTAAATTAGTTAATGGTATCAAATGATTTCAATTTAGATTGCTGTGTAAACATCCATTCCAATCAACAATTAGATCCTATTAAAGTAATTTAAAGTTTCTTCAAAATAAATTCATGTATCGTCTTCACCATTAATTAATTCTTTGAATACTATAGCAACATTTCTCTACCTATTGGAGATTTAACACAACATGTAATAATCCCTTTGTAAGGCAAAACATCCTAATTCACATAACAGGATAACATAAAATTGCCCATAGCAACAAAAAACTGATTATCATTGGTATATGTAAAAGTAAAGTTTTAAATATGACAAAAAATTAATGTTTGAGTGCATTAAAAATAAATAATATATTACTGTGTTGTAAGTAACTGAAAATAAAATATTAGATGTAAATGGGAGACATCTGTAATACTATCAACAAAAATAAAAAATAAAAATGTCTTAGTATGTTTGGAGTGCATGTTGCTTCTTAAAAATTCAAGCACATATGTGGGCTGAGAAAAAAATTTCATGTTGTACATCATTAAGTGGCACTTTTGTGTAACTCAAAATTAACTGCAAAGTTAGGAAAATAAGACTTCAGGGTATGGCTTTCACACATTGCTACATGAACTAATGGGGACTCTCCATACATCCTTCATTTCTCTGGCTGATTCCCTGTCAGCTTTCTCATTTCCCTCATATCTCTTGAAACTCCAACATGTTTATGCAGGTTTACAAGAAGTCTAATAAAACAATGCCAATAAGTTGCAATTTTTATCACTAAGTCCCTGTGTGTTAGTGTAGGGAAAAGTCATCAAGATGTTACCACTGGTTTGACCCTGGAGCTTCCCCAGGACAACCGGAAACTCCTCATTCTCTCCTATGCTTAGGAATGTGCTCCTGACTTGCCTTCCCCCAGCTAGGAGCGTCCAAGGACACAGCCTTAGAATAACAATGCACTGATGAGACATTCTGAACTGGGTTTATGATTAAAGCTTGCGAAGGTCTGCTGTGCATGTGACTAAACCCTGTTAAGGCTTCTTGTGTACATGACTGAGCCTAGTTCAGGCCTCTATATAGACTTTTAATATTCTGGCAGGCTGGTGGGGAAATCTACTTGTTCTGTGGTCAGCCAAGACAAGCCTTTTAAGTGAGTTCTCTTATTTACTAAACCTGCCACCTACTGATCTGGAGTGGTCTGCCTTTCTTCAGTTTCTCAGGCCCTCCAGTTACAGAGGGCCAATTTCATTTCTGGTCCAGGAAGCTCCCAGCCAGGCTTGTGAAGCAACAGGAATTCACACAGACTTCTTTTTAGAGTAAATGTAGAAACAGGTTCTATTTTTGACATTCAATATGGTGCATTTTATGGTTTCATCGGTTCACAAATATGTTCACTCTGACAACAAGGACGATTAGGCAGTTCTGAGTATGTGCCCATAGAATGCACTGGGATTAATCTGAAACCAATTGTATGACATTGGACTTAGCATATTTACTTAAGTTTTAGGGGACATAACTTGATGGATGGCATATCAGATCCACATTACTCAGAGACTATTATAATGGGGAGACAAGGGATGCAATAAGATTCAAGAGAGCAGTGCTTGATTTAGAAGATCAGAATTCTAATGTTGCCTCTGCTGGAAATTACAATAACTTTAAAAGCTTCTTTACTATTCATTTTATGTATTTATAAGATGAGAATATTGGAATACAGTTTATCTCTAAGTTTTTTCGAGCCATAAAATGTATGATTTTACTCTATTTGAATTTAAAGAATGGCAAGATATCACTGAGAAATTTTAAATATTACTTTTTATATTAAACCCTTGGTTTCCATGGCTATTTCTAATAAGAGTCATCTTGGGATTATAAAAGGTTGATATTCAACCAGAGACATAAAATCAGAAGAGCATATGCATTTTTAAAAGCTTTTCAATATTTCTGACATAGTTACTCTTCCCTTTGTTATTTCATAGTACAGTTTAGAATTTTATGATAGGAAATAAGTCTTTTGTTCTTCACTCCAAAACATACACAGGCATATGAAAGCTATAGTTTGAGAGCATTAAAAATAAATGATATATTACTGTGTTGTAAGTAACTGAATATTCAATGGGCAGGTCAATGTGTTTTCATATTTCATTATACAATTTTACCTTTTTCCTTTAGGGAAGCTGCCAACTTCACTTCTTTCCCCTTAATAGGCTCTGGAAAGAAACATTGAGCATTTATTTTCAGCCAAGATAAAAAAAATAATTGAGAACACATAGATGATGAATTCAGTGAGCTATCATTAAATTGAACTGTATGGCAATAACATAATGTTTTCTTAAAAAATTATTTTAATCATACAGACACAAAGATACAACAGTATAGAGTACAACAAGTCACTCCTTGATTATTTTTGTTTAAAGTAAGTATAAAATTTTGAATGAGTTATAATCTATTTGTTCATTAAGAGAGTAAGCATTTGGATGGATTAGAAATTATTTCATTTATAATTTTTAAAAACACATAGCTTCAGCATCCAAATTCTCCTCTGTTATAATTAGCACTCTAATAGTATATTTTTATCAGGCTATGTTTGTTTGTGTTTTTGTTAAAATAAACAAACAATCAAATGAAAAGCTGCATATATCATGTAAATGTGATGTTTTAGTCATCAGATTCAAGTCAAATAAATTTCAAGAATAAGACTAAAATAAAATATGAGAGATTATTCTATAAACTTCCAACATCTTAAAAACCTGGTCCTTGATTAAAGTAAATAAAATATAATTTTATTTATTCTACCATGTTCAAAAACAAAGTAATTCGGATCATACAGTGGGTTCCAGACATATATGTGGGCAATATCTTAAAGAACATTATCCATCCTCAACAACCTATAGAAAAAACATAAGCCTATTTTTTTGGCCTCTCAGTATCCATTTTATTGACAAAAGTAGTTTCTAATACAGTGGGAAAGAAAGGAAGAAAAAATATATACCTTCAGCCCTTTTTTCCATTCTAATCTTACGATTTTGGGTGGGAATTCTGGAATAGGGGGTAGTACCTGTACGGATGTGCCACTCAGTCACTTTGAATTAATTGAGTCCAGGTGATCTTGGATGGTGTCAAGAATGAATTTAAGGGTTCTATTGAAAGGGCTGTGTCCCTCAAAGCAAGATTTTCTTGGTAGATAAGCTACAGCTTTAAGTATTCATGTTTGTACAATTTTTTAAAATGGCTTTGATGGAAAAAATGTTTATGTTGCTATTTATTGTGCAAAGTATAAATAAGGCTGTTTCTCCTTATAGTCTAGCATACAAAGATGAAATCAAGAGCTATGGATTGGTTAAACACAAAAAGAAGCTTTATTAATATTTTTTGTCCAAGTCACTGGGGGTCATTTACTGCTTTTAAATTTCCCAGCTAAACCAAAAGAATTAATAATGTATTGTGAAATGAGAAGTGGTGGTTGGGACAGATTCCCAGTGGGGTGGGGGAGGGCAATCTCTGAAAGTTCAGGATTCAATATTAAGCATCTATGTATATAAAAGCCTAGGTGACCATTCTACCATTTGATTGTTAGCTAGGATGTGCACTGACCACTAGCAGGCAAACACTCAATGCGCAGGCATGGAAACATGGAACAGACTGATGACTCTCAGAGGGAAGTGGGGAGGGGAAGGGAAGGAAGAGATTAACCAAAAATCTTATATGCATACTAGAGGCCCAGTGCATAGATTAGTGCACCACTGGGGTCCCTCAGCCTGGCCTGTGGGAATCGGGCTGAAAGTGGCAGTCCAACATTCCTTGGGGGGTCCTAGATTGTGAGGGACAAGGGACCCCACCAGTGCACAAAACCATGCACCGGGCCTTTAGTGTTTATATAAATGAGTGAGTGTTGTGTTGTGAGATGAACACAGTTATAAAATTCAAGACTTGTATGTTATTGTGAGATGAACATCATTATGAAATGCAAGACTTATGAAGATTTGATTTTCTGGAGAAAGAAAGAAGGGGTAAAATAACAGCTGTACTTTTACAGGGTATTTGAAGGTCATAAACCCATCGCCTTAAACTTGGCAAAAGTTTCAGAAAATAGAAGTGACTTTTATTTCCAGGTTTGCTAGTAGGAAGATGGCATCTGCTTCCAGGCTGGGCCATCTCCTGAACTGACTCTCTCAGTCTCCTTTTTGACTTCAAGGCATTTTGACCTGATTTAGCATGTCCACAGGCAGATCTGAGCAGTCTCTAATTAGCCAACCAAGTGAGGGGAAGGGAGATACCCTGTTTCCCCGAAAATAAGACAGTGTCTTATATTAATTTTTCCTCCCAAAGTTGCGCTAGGTCTTATTTTCAGGGGATGTCTTATCTTTCCATGCACTAGGTCTTATTTTCTGGGAAACACGGTAGAAACATTGATGAGAGAGACACATGGATTGGCTGCCTCCTGCATGCCCCCAACTAGGGATCTAGCCTGAAACCCAGGTATGTGGCCTGATGGGGAGTCGAACCTGGGACCTTTTGGTTCATGGGGGGACACTCAATCCACTGAGCCACACTGGAACATATTTAAATGTGCTGTGATATAAAGTGCAACTCTCAAATAATCTGGGCAAGGAGGTTGTGATGGAGAAATGTTCACAAAGGAATAAAAAGATGGTTTCAGATTTTTCAATTCCCTATACTGCCCCCAGAGAGTCAGAGGGTAATGAACTAGAGTGAAATATAGATTGTTGGGGATCAGTGTCAAAGTCCTCAGACAGCTTTGCCCATTCTTTTTGATTGATTAGTGGGAGTGGCCAGGGAAAGGAACATTGCTGACAAATAAAAGTTGGGGGATCATCAGGTGCATGGTCTTGAACATCAGAATGTTACAAAGATAAGCATTGCTGAGCATCCACTGGTATTAGATCCAAACATACACAGGCCTGTGTCACAAGACTGGACAATAGTTCCAGTGTCTATCATAGTAATCCAATGCCAGAGGAACCTAAGTGTTGCTACTATTGTATTATTAATAAAGGAGGAATTTGATTCATCTCTTTGATGCCTTTTCTGGGTTTGTGTTGCAGTTCCTGGGACCATCGATGCTTCTTGGATCCTCTGATAAATCAGACCAGCTGCAAGAAGCAAGTGGTGATATAATATAGGGGTAGATCTCAGAAGGAACATAACCAATATCAGGGGTGACTAGCAGGATTGTCTGGTTTCTGAATGGTCACAGCCACCTAAACAGGACTCTGTCCTTGTAAATGTATTGCAAGAACTTATCCGAGTCCCCCAACCAGTAAAGTCAGTAGCTGAACCAGCAGCAAAAGCCAACAAGACATCTTTCTCTTGTTTTTTTTTTCTCCTCTCTCTCTCAAACAATCATCCCTAGACCTTCTCTGCATCACTTTAAATAAAGACACAAACCTAATGATGTTTCTTTAAATGCCTAATTTACTCATGGTTATCACATCCCTGGTCCCAAATGATTTTTGTGTAATAATCCTGGTTTTAGAATTGGACCATTGCTTCAATGCGGGTTCTAATGTTGCACAATGTGGAATCTCTGAGAGCCTGGCAAACTTAGGCAACCACTTAGCTGCAGAATATAAATAACTCCCAATATATGATGACTCCAATGCAGTAAGTGGCTTTTTAGTGAACGGAATTGCTGCATTCTGATTCTGCTACAGCTCAGCAGCAGACTTCTAAGACTGCTTCAGAAACAAGAACACTGCAGAGGTTTTTAAAGTTCCTGAAATCTGATAGGTAATCCTACAATAAAAATTGTAATAATAAATAATATTCAGAAAATATAAGAAACAGGAAATAAATGTATTCTAAAATAACATCTACCTTAAATATTTGAGGGCATTAATGCAGTTTGAATAAAACAGGTATATTTTAAATAGCTTTAAATCAATAATCATATTCAGTAAAACTTTATATACATGATTTCTCTTGACTGTGGAGAGAACTTGCAAATAGTAGAGGATTTAACACTGAGGGGGAAAATAGTGTTCACTAAGAAATTACCTACAATTACCTATGTTCAATACAATAATTATAGAAATTACAGAAGCCTACTTAGTAATAAAGTGGTCAGTGTGGATTTAAATTCCTCAAATAATGTTTACCAGGATAGAGTTTTACAACTGCCATTTCCAACTAGTTTAGGTTTCGGCACAAGTGGAGTCTTTAAGTAGCAATTTAGATTTTTGAAAATCATAGTTGCCTGAAAGTTAGTTTTTAAATTTATGCCCCAAGTTTTTTTTTTAGATGCTTTTATATTGAATAGCAATTATACTATAGTGGAAAGAAGGGAGGTTTATATTTGAAAAAATATATATATATATATATTTTTTTCTGGTAGTATGTTTCAATGAACCTTTAGTTCTCACACACAATCAAGGACAATGTTCTTATTAATTGTCAGATAAAATGAGAGAGAAGGAGGAAGAGTCCCTTACAAAGTACAAATAACCACTAAAGAAAAATAAACTCCTCTGTGATGATTAAGAGGGCTCACCCCAATAGCAAAAGTTCTAAGGCTATTTTTTTATACTGCATAGTCAATGTGACTATATCAAATGTGTCTATATCAAATAGATTTTCAAAGTTATGTAATGAGCTCTACATTCAAAGCAAAGGTTCTTTGAAGAATAAAAAAGTATAAGAACACTTGCTCCTTTTAAGGAGCAAGCAGTATTTGTGTAAAAATTAAAAGATGGACTTTAAAAATCCAATACACTTGACTTTCATTCTTGCCTTTGCTCTCACTTCACAGTGTACCTGAGTAACTTACTTGATCTATGGCTCAGCTTTCACATTTATAACATTTGAGATATGCAGCACAACTTGCTGAAACAAAATGTGTAAAGCAGATTTTCCCGCGCCTGGCAAAGAGCAGAGGCCCGGCTCCGTACTTCTCCCAAACGATTCCCCCCTCCCCTTTTTTTTTTTGCCTGGCTAACTCTCATCCTCCTCACTTGACTTTAATATAACTCCTTTAGGAAAGCCTTTTCCGAGTCCCCAGACTTAATTAGAATCTTTATTACACTCTTTTACAGAACATTGCATATTTACTCTATGATTCTTATAATTTTAATAAATTATGTCATTAATACTATAAATATCAAAAGGACACAGACTGTTTTTCTTATACAGTATTTTCCGGTGTATAAGATGACCTTTGAAACGAAAAAAAAGTCAACCGAAAATCGGGGGCAAAAGACCAAAATTGCACAAAAATTACCTGCAGATCTTGACGGCAAAGTATTTTCTTTGAAGTTGGGGGGTAGTCTTATACAGCGAATATAGGCCTAAATCTATGTTTTAACTGTAAAATTTGGGGGTCGTCTTATACGCCGGAAAATACGGTAATCCCAGTATCTAGGGAGTATATGTTCTGACTTCTGTGTACTAGATTTACAAAAAATAATTATTGAATGTGGTACTGATTAGTTCACATAAAAATAAGATGACTAACATAGGTCTTGATGCTTAAGTAAGTGGCATTTCAATTAACTAATTAGATAAATAAGATTTTACATAAGTGTATGAATTCAGGGGAGAGGTTTCAGTGAACATTGATAAAAATTGATGGTTTATATAGACATTATTCTTAGACGGACAGAGAGGAAAGTCAGTCCATTCAGAAGAGGAAACCTCAAAATTTAAATGAGAACATCATGCCTTTTTGTAGCAATACGGAGCCTGACAAGACTGAAGCAGACAGAACACAACAAAGAGAAACTTTGAAATAGCAGAACTTACAACTCCAATTCTCCAAATTTTCTCCCTATTTCTAGCTTTATTTCTCCAATGGTTAGCAAGTGCGTGGAAGGATTGTGCACCACATATATATTTTATGAGTGGACAGAAAGGAGAGAACCAGAGCACATAAAGCTAAGTCCTTTCTGAATTCTTTACTTCCCTTCTAATTTTTTTAAAAAACCTTTTTATTCTTTAAGAAAAATCCCATCTCTCTCCTTTTTCCTTAATTTTTCATAACACTTTTTAGGTCATGGTGAACTATAGGAAAGTATTTGAGGGACAGCTAAATAAATACAAAATTTTAAATATATTGGGGTGACCTATATAATTTTGTCTCCCACATCTGCAAAGATGATGTCTAATGTATTATGGGCCCATTCAAATATTTTTGCTAATAAATTTCTAGTGTTATGTTACATTGAATCTATTACCTTTATCTTTCAGAACTGAAGAAGTCTTCTCAGATTTTTCTTTTCTAATTTCTGCAAGAAGAATCATGAAAAGAAAATGTTACAAGGAATAATAGAGATAAAATTGTAAGTTTCTTGATGTGTTTTGCTTATTGAGGCCTAAAAAATCAAAGAGGCTCTGAGCTGATATTCAAAATATAGATATATATTATACTAGAACTGGTTGCTCATAAAAAATAAGCCCATGAATTATTATCACGAAGGACAAATTGTGATAGACACAAAAAAGGTATAAATAAAATGCTATGGGCTTTCGGGAAAGAAGGTAGGTAACAATAATAGCTAACATTGTCTATTTCCTCTGCATTAAATAAAATGTTCTCTATTGTTTTGTCATGCAACATTTACAACAACCCTGTAAGGTAGGCAGATCCTGACATTATTCTTGATTTTCACATAAAGGAATTAATAACTCTTCCAGGTTGTGTAGCTGTTAAATAGGAGACCTGGGATTTAGACTGATGTCTCTCTCAACTCAACCACAAAGCTACTGGCTCTGATAGCTGACTGATTGGGATCAGAAAGTCTTTGGCCAGTGGTACTGAGGCAGACCTTGAAATATAGAAAGGAATTAGACCAACAGAGATGGAGTGCAAAAGAAGACACATTTTATTTTATTATTATTTTTTTAAAATATATTTTATTGATTTTGTACAGAGAGGAAGGGAGAGAGATAGTTAGAAACATCGATGAGAGAGAGTCATCAATCAGCTGCCTCTTGCACACCCCCTACTGGGGATATGCCTGCAACCAAGGTACATGTCCTTGACCGGAATCGAACCCGGGACCTTTCAGTCCCCAAGCCAACGCTCTATCCATTGAGCCAAACCAGTTTCGGCAAGAAGACACATTTTAGAAGGACGGAAGAGAGAATAAGGAGGTATGGGCTGGGCAGTCTGTCCATTCGGTTTTGTGAGTCACTAGACAACAGACTGTAGGGCAAGTGATGCTGTGTGACTTCCTAGGTTAAAAAGGCAGGGAAGGCCATTCAGCTCCTACCTGTTCCTCTGGGAACACTAGTTCCTAGGAAGCTGGTGGAGTATAAGTACTTTAACAGACACCATCATGCAGCAAAGGATACAGATAGGAAGACCAGTCAACAGCCCAAGCCGAACTTCCAGCTAAGAGCTAGCATCAACTGCCAGCCATCTAGGTGAGCCAACCTGGACATCTAGAAGTTGGTTGCTTTGATGACTACAGCTCAAGCCAACATTTACTGCAATCATGTGAGATTGTGCCTTTGGTGTTGTATCCAAAAAGTCATTGCCAAACCCAAGGCCACCTAGATTTTCTGTTATGCTATCTTCTGGAAGTTTAATAGCTTTAGGATTAAATTATGTCTATGACGCACGTTGAGTTAATTTTTTGAGGAAAATGCAGGGTCTGAGTCCAGATTCTTTTATTATCATTATTATTTTTGCTTGTTGATGTCCACTTGATTTAGTACCACTTGTTGATAAGACTATTCTTTCTCCATTCAATTGCTTTTGCTCTTCTGTCAAAAATAAATTGACTATATTTTATGGATCTATTTCTGAGCTATTTGTTCTGACCCATTGGTCTATTTATTTGTCTACTAGAGGGCCAGCACCCACAATTGCTTCCCTGCCCACCATCACTAGTAGCTTGCGCCCACTGTGAGAGCCACTGCTTATTTGGTCATGACGGTGTTATGGCATGATGGCCATGGGCCTTTTATATAAGAGATTCTTTTACAATACAATATAACACTGTTTTGATTGTGTTGATTGGCATAGCTTTGAAGTCTTGAAGTCTAGCAGTATCAGTTTTCTGACTTTATTTTTCTTCTTTAATATTGTCTTGGCTGTTTGAGTCTTTTATTTTTTCATAAAAACTTAAACTCAGTTTGTTGATATGTTTGTTGATATTCACAATATCAGTTTTCTAATATTCACTGGGATTTTTATTGTGATTGTATTGAATCTACAAATCAATTTGGGAAGAAATGACATCTTAACAATTGAAAAAAAAGGAGATATATATACTACTATATGTAATACTTTAAACAATAAAATAAAATAAACAATTTTGAGTCTACCTACCCAAGAACATGGAATATTTCTCAATTATTCAATTCTTTTATTTTTTCACCAGAGTTTTATAGTTTTCTTCATGTAGATGTATACATATTTTGTTAGGTTTATATATAAATATTTCCTTCTCTTGGTGTTAATGTAAATTGTATTATAATTTTAATTTTGTTCATTCCAATTTTTCATTGCTGGCATACAGCAAAGCAATTGGCTTTTGCATATTAACCTTGTATCTTACAACCTTGCTATAAACACTGATTAGTTCTAGGCGTTTCTTGATTCCTTAAGATTTTTTTACATAGACAATCACATCATTTGTGAACAAAGACAGTTTTATTTCTTCCTTCACAATTGATATAACTTTTATTTTCTTGTGTTAACCTGTTCTTCCAGTACAATGATGATTAAATGGGATTAGAAGAGATACTCTTGCCTTGTTCTTTGTCTTAGTAGAGAAGCTATTTCTCTTGATTAACTATGATGTTAGTTGTAGATTTTATTATAGATGTTCTTTGTCAAGTTGAGAAAGATCCTCTCTATTCCTAGTTTGCTAAACGATTTTATCATGAATGGATGTTGGATTTTGTCAAATAATATTCTATATCTACTGACATAGCTTTCATAGTTTTTCTGTGTTTCTTCCTTAGCTTGTTGATGTGATAGATTACATTCAATTTTTTTTCAAATGTTGAACCAACCTTGCATAATTAAAATTAACCCCACTTGGTCAGGATGTGTAATTTTTTATACATTGTTTGAGTTGCTAATATTTTTGGTTTCTGTGAACTTTTTTTTTTTTTTAGCAGTTTTTCTAACAGTACCTTCAACTTTCTGATGGAAAAGTAGATGTAAAAGTAATTTGAATTCTGAGACTCTCAGAAAGGTTTTGACTGGAGTAAGACAAAAGCTAACACTCTGTCAACAAAACAGAGTAATTACTGATGCCAAGAAAGCATCAGCTGTACACAGGGCCCGCTATTTCCGGGCGAACCTCCCCAGTAGGAACAGGCCGTTGGCATCCACTGTGAACGATAAGCTGGAGCCTCAGGAGTGTCTGTGGCATGGCAGAATAGCTACATTCGGCACAGTGAGCACCATTACCACAAGGTCGAACTCCACGAAGCAGGGCAAAGACCACCATTTCCCCATCTTCATGAATAAGAAAGAAAACATCTGGCATTGCACTGAAACAGAAAGGGTGTTCGGCTTCCCTGTCCTCTATACCAATGTCTCCAAAACGAGCCACTTGGTAAGGCAGAGACTCTGGGACGGTGGGGGAGCAGGCAGGTCATCTACCACCTCTTGGCTCTGCTGAAGGAATATGCTTGTGTGTAAGGGACATGAGGGCAAACTGAGGTGGTGACACAAAGTTAAACAAAAACAAAAAACACAACAAAACACAAAGAGCATGAGGATGGAGAGAAGTATCCAGAAGAGAAACAGGAATTTAAAACAAAAACCAGAGGCGGAAATACTGGAGGGCTTTGCCATGTGAAAAGGGTGGACATCGTCTCCTCATTTTTCAATGTTCATCTTTAGTCCTTTTTAAAAACAACAATAAAACCCCTCTACCCCCTCCCCCACCTTTTGTTTTCTACTTCTTTGCAGAGGGGCTTTCTCTTTGAGGCTTTCTTGCTGTGACTGAAACAAGAGGGTCTATTGCAGCAAAAATCAATTCAGAAAACACAGTAACAATACCTTGCAGAGGAAAAATAAGAAAGATTTAAAAAAAAGAAAAGAAAAACTATGTATCTTTTTGTTGTGGTCTCCAGCCTGATCAGACAGGAGCACAAGCAGAGGAGGAAAGTAGAGACACTCAGGAGGCCGAAACCGCTCCCAGCCACTGAGCTGTCCTGCCAGCACCATTCCTAGTCCCACAAAACAGAACCCAACTAGCAGCAGGGAGACCAGGACACCACACAAGACCCTTTTATACAGTATTTCAGGTGCCTACCACTCAGGAAACCAGTTTCTAAAAGATGCTGTTACCTCTCGTTTACAAGAATATATATGTATGATAAATATGAGCTATATTTGTAAAAAATACTGTTAACTATTCTAAAACAAAACCAAAATAAAATAGTGTTCTCCCCATCTTTTAAGAAGACAAACCGATCTATTCAATAAACATTCAGTGTCTCATTTGTGCTTGGAGCTGGAAGACCAAGATGGTTGCATGAAGTTCAGTCTTGGCTGGAGTGCATCTGCATCGACAGGTTAAGAACAAAGATCGAGACAGAAGCCCAGGGCTCTGGGGCCATAGCAGAAGGATTGACAAATGCTGCCTGTTGGGGTGAGAAAAGACCTCACAGAAGCACTTCTGTTGTATTCTGAAACTGGATATAAAATTTTCCATCAAAGAAGAATTGAAAAGACATCTCCAATATTAGAAACTATAAAAGCAAACCACGGAGTGTGGAATTCATGTGGCTGGGTTGCTGAGTACACAAAATGGGAGAGCAGGGAGCCAAGGCTGTCATGTCACAGTGAGATCAGTGGTGAGGGAACCTGAAGAGAGCGCCATCAATGTAAGGGAGAAACACACATGGGTTGCCTCTTCTAGGCACCCTGATGGGAAATGGACCTCTAACCTCACTCCCAACTGAGCCACACAGGCTAGGGCCTATGTTTTCAAATTTATATTCTTCCAATGACAAGTAGTCCTTAGACTCTAAAGGTAATTTTTTTTTCTGTCATTGTGTTAAGAAAAGTTGGCTCATAAGGGAATATGATGCATACTGAATTGGCTGACAATACATACAAATTCATTGTCCTTTTGTTTGGACATAGTCCAAAATTGAAACTACCAGCCCCTCACAGAAGTGTTATCACATTCTCCTGCTTCCAAAGATAATATCTTATTTTATTTTTATAGTTTATTTCTGTGTGGGTGTCATGGGTATAAGTTCTATATATTGTGTGTCATTATTACTGATTCTTATAATTGAATTACTATTT